CGAAATCCGTCTAGGTATATTTTGTGTTAATAATTTTATTAAGAAGCAATCGAAGCCAAAACTAATTGTTCTGATCTTTTCAAAAAATTTGAGCTAAAATATACCTAGACGTGAACGTAGAACGCCTGCAGTTTTCTGGTTGAAAACAAGAGTCGTCTTTCCAAACGAACGTTTTTACAGTAATAGAATATAAACGAGATTTTTTGTTCGTGACTTGGATGCGACATATTGAAACCATCGAGACAAGGCAGTTCGTCAGTCAAGTTCAGAAAAGAAAAAAGGGCGACGCACCGGCAATGTGTATACTTACACGAACCATTTCGAGCCACTTTCGAACCCACTTAAGTCAAAAATATATATAAATTTAGGTACACACGTAATTTTGCATCCCTTTCTAATAAAGCCTCTTTTTGAATAGTACTTAGAATATAAAATTTCACGCATAGGCTTACTAAAAATATAGTTCTTGAGATAATACCGAGTGGCGTTCAATGTATTTTCGGTATTAAGTTGATTCGCTAATAATGTGGGTAATTAAAAAAAATCATTAGCTAACGACACTACCTGAGAGTATAAATATGAAATTTCGTCTTGATAACTTCATTGAGTCTTGTGTTACCTTCAGTCATAGACGACGGGAATGATTGACTCGACAATGTTGAAAAAAATCAAACACCGTGCGGTGATTAAACTCCTCGCTAAACAAGGAAAAGCTCAAAAAAACTTCCATTAAGAAATGGTGGCCGTTAACCAACTCTGCTCCTTCAATATCAACCGTGTAGAAGTGGTCAAGTGAATTCAAAAGAGGCAGAGAAAGCATCGAAAATTACCCCCGCCCGGATGACCCAATCACAGTGGCTACAGAATAAAATGGAAATTTATTGAAAAACTTGTATTAGAACTTTGCACGGGTAAGAATTAAGATGTTAGCAGAAATGACTAACCTATCCGTTGGTAATATATGCACCATATTGCATGACTATCTCAACCTCACAAAAGTCGGTGCAAGGTGGGTGCCACGAATGCTCACTGCGCTTCAAAAGCAAGCGTGGGTTGACCCTACTCGACAAGTGTTTCGATAATAGTTACAGGAGATGAAACGCGAGTGTACCACAATGACCCTGAGAGTAAACAGGAGTCTATGCAATGGCATAAAAAGGGATCAGACCCAACCGAACCCCCCAAGAAGATCAAAGTCACTCCATCGGTCTGTAAAATCATGGCCGTAGTGTGTTGGCATTCCAAAGGAATACTATTGATCAAGTACACAAAAAAAGGTGAAATTATCAACGCATTTTGTGCACGTATTGGCAACACCCACACTTTTTTTTATGGACTGGACTCCTAGTTTTGGCCAGTGTCTTATAATTAGAATATAAAACAATAAAACAAATTCAATTGTTTTTCCATATAAAAAGAAATTCAATTCAAGCTTACGCTCATTCAGAAATCTGACTTAGTCAATTTTAACGGATTAAAAAAAAATTTTCGAGGAAAGTTGTGATTGAATAAATTGCAAGAGGATTATCAGAAGTTTTACAAGCAAGAATTGTAACTTTGAGGGGAGAAGGATATTCCACGAGAGAAATAGCACACAGAGTTGCTGTCCTATATCACCGATGTTCACCCAACTGTTCCGATTGCTGCTCAGAAGCGCTATATCAGAATGCTGGCAGCCCCTGACCCATCAAACAATGCCATTACAATAAAAGCAGAAGTGCGAGCCACCTGTGGACTTGAAGTTAGCACTCAGACCATGCGGAATTGCTTAGACCAGGCTGCACTACGAGCACGGAGGTCTTAGCAAACACCTCCAAATTCACGGTAACGTGATAGACGGAGATTGCAGTGGGCCAGGCTTCGGCATCTCATCTAACTCATCTGACGTGACAGTGTCTGGAGAGGACCTAGACTCTGAAAAGCAAAGAACTGCCATTGGAATCGTTCAGCAAGGCGGGAAATCGGTGTCCTTTGGGGGTGGAATTATTATTGGAGCTAGAAAGCATTTGATCCCGTATCGTGGCTACATGACGGCAGGTAGGTACAAAACAGTCGCTATTGATGAAATTGTTATACCATTCCGAGCACAGAAATCTATAGAATAATAAGGCAGTAAAAGTCGTAAAAGCGCGTGACCGTGTCGCCGCACCTGTGACTCGCAGGCCACAAGTGCGCAGGAGTATTTGTTTTGGTCAACAGTGTTGTTACGGACGTAGAGACGTAAAAATGGTGTTTTGCAGCATATCCAACTGCGGAAATTCTTCCACAACTTGTAAATTTTCAAATTAAGGGATAACATTTCATAAGTGAGTACTCAGTGTTTTAAATAATGTTGTTTTTAATGAAATATACTCAAATAAAATTATTCACATCCAGTACTACGATTGTTTCTGAAAATGTCATTGTTTTCACATTTCAATATCCATTGCTTCTTAAGCTAGTTCATGTCTACGAGTACGATACTAAATGCGATGAATTTATAGTATGGGCAATAAACAATATAGTCGCGTACGTAAATTCCAAGAACACGACCGCAGGAGTCGAGCGCCAGTCAGTGACGTGACACTACTATTTTGTATCGATAATTTATTGTGTTTGGCTTACCTAGTTTTACCGAAATGGGAATGAAATGTGATTTTTCGAATATTTATTTACACCTTCTCTATTTTTTTTCTTTCTGAATATTTTATACCGCCGTTTAGCAGCGATTATCTGTTTGTTAGTTCTTTTAAATTACTTGATAAATTTTATGCAGTTTTAATATATTATATGATATTGTAAGAATAGTAGACTAAACTGAAACTGTAAGAAGCCGGGTAACTGAAAAATAACAAACAACAGAAACTCCGTTACAGATCTTTAAAACTAATAAAAAATGATAAATATGTCACCCATACATATATTTATTCGTTTGCTGTTTGCATAATGTTATATTCATTTTATTTATACATCTGTTTATTTTATACAATTCTTAACAGCATTCCAGCTTTCCAAAAGATCCGGATATTAAAGATAAATGGATATACTTACTTATTCTTAACGTTTTATTGTATCCCTTTTTCTCTAATTATAAAATGTCTAGAAGCTAAAGCTTAGACTAAAAGCGTCTAGGATATACTTATTCTTAACGTTTTATTGTATGCCCTTTTCTCTAATTATAAAACGTCTAAAAGACGACACTTTCAATTAATTATTTATCTCTTGGTGTGAGACTCCTGGACGACCAACGACGCTTAATAGAAAGTTATCGATACGTGCGTTGCGCTGCACTATACCCAAGTGGGAGTGAGCGCGCAATGTCATCTCTGTTTTTCGCACACGTTAATTATTGGCACGAGTGGCTACGCTTCCCGAGATTTTGCGTTTTTATAAAATATCGCAATAGTTTAATCTTTATTTCATTAATGCTAGAGAATTGTGTAGGCGTAATTGTGTAATTAGTGTTCGTCTATGTGTGATAGCTGCGAACCGGCGACACGCGTCCCGATATTAAAAGACAGTAGAAGGCATTTCTAGAGCCTTATTATTTAGATTTCTGTGATTCCGAGCAAACCATCTTTCATTGTCATCGATTCGTACTGGACAATGATAATGCGCCCGCACATCGAGCACAACGAGTCAATGCCAATCTCCGAGAATACGACATCATATGGCACTGGCTTACCGGCTCGCCTGACTCAAACCCAATAGAGCACGCGTGGGATGCTCTTAAGCGAGCTGTTTGGAACCGTCAGCCACCGCCCCAAACAATGCCAGATATCAGGGAAGCCGCTATTCAAGAATGGGACAGGTTACCGCAAGAAATGCTGGATAACTTGATCCACAGCATGCCCAAAAGGATCTCTGCATGTGTTCGAGCCATGGGAGGGGTTATATTTGATTAAAAACCTTCTACTAATAAATTGTCGTATAAGTTTGATTAAACACTCTTTTTCTTTCAATCTCATCTTTCAATTTCTGTTACAATTACATTAGGATTGAATTACCCAATTTTTGTTATTAAAAATAAAAAAGTTTTATTTTTTATTTTAAAGTGTATTTCTATTTAAAATAGCTACAACGTAAACACTTTTTTTTTGACAAAATAAAATTTTAAAAATACATCAGATTTTGATTGTGTGTACATTTTATCCTCTATTATTAAGAATCAAAATGCAGATGCGTTTTTATTCAGGTATTCTGTGAGAGCGTGGTCCTAACTGTGCTGGCACTTCTTATTAGTTTGTGATCCTAATAACCCGGTCGAGCCGACCCATTCGTGTTACAACCATAATGTAGCCGCAGCGTGGTTCTACCATGTAAAAAAAAATAATTTGTTCAAAAACTATTCCGCAAAATGTTGATGCATTACATTGTAGTTTTTTGGGAAATCTCAGCGACGGCTTAAGCTAATTATTTTAGGTTTATATCGATATCGGAACACTTGTTTCGTTGTTTCCATTAATAGTTGACCTGAGCAGGCAATATAAAATAGAATAGTTTTTATTCAATACAGATTCAATATAGAAGTATATCAATGTTACTGAGCCATTTTTTACTTTTACCACCAAAAAAAGCTCTGCCCTGGGTAAAGGCAGCAAGAAACCACGTTGGACGTTTTCTTTTTTTAAGAAAAATTATGGAATAAAAAACAACGATTTTTACTACGATATACAAGTCATTATACGCATCACTTATACGTATCAAAATCCATTTAAAAGCATTATTTAAACGATAAAACAGGAGAACAAATCCGCCGCCTAATATACCTTTATTAAAGAAAAGTAGAATTTGAAATTTAAAATTCAGTATGTGTTTAATAATTTGGTGTTATTAAGTAGACAAGAAAAATAATGAAAATAAAACATTTTACACACTTTTTATTTAATTATTTACCTTAAGTCTATGAGAGATAGGTACAAATTTTAAATAACGAAACTATCTCAACTTTAAACATAAATTACATTAGTAATATTTTATAAAGCTTACATTTATGAATTACTTATCAGAATAAGGAATGACTAGGACTTGTTTGAGAGCATTTGCAGTTGATACTCCTTCTTCAGTTCTTTAAGATTTGCCTCCAAAATGGCAACCTGCAATCAAACATTAAAAAAATACAAAAATATGAAAACTAAAAACATATCCATACTTCTCACACGATAGATTCAGGAATTGTGGGTGCTTTGTTTCGTTAAATACAGGAAAAGCTTTGTCCGCGTTCTTTCGAGCGAAGTGGAAGCTAAGTCTGCAGTGTGTACTCAACATATTGTGTTCCAAACAGGAGCATTAACTCTCAGTCAAGTGTTGAGGTGTGGTCGTGATGCGGTTGAGTTACGGCTTGTGGTAACGGTGTAAGAAAAAAATCATATTCATAATACTATAACGTCCCGTGGGCGTAGTAAGAGGTGACTATGGGAAAACCAGAAAATGCTTATGGCCACCGAAAATCTGACAGATGATGGAGTAACCGTGACTTTTAATAGTTACCTGTACAGCCTATCAGAAGTACCCATATGAACATAAGCTTCCCTCATACATTACTTTGTAGGGAGGATATTTGCAATAGTTGCCACGTTGATTGGCAAACGGATTTTTTCATTATTATGTTGTTATTAGAACCACCCATCTTATATACTAGATTTAAAATATTGACACCGGCGACAGGGAGCAGCGTCAAATACGCAAATCGTCTGGTACTGCATCGCCAATCCATCAACGGGAGAGATCTGTATCCAACAGTGGACTTTGACGCAGCACATGAATTACAAGAAAAAACAGATTATCACTAAACAGTAAAATTCTGTGTTCTGTGACGTGACCAAAAATTAACTTTTCAATAAAAAAAACCGCAAAAATACGTTCTTGCTAGAAAAAAAGGTGAAAAACGAACACACAGTCCCGTGATGATGAAGTGGATGCTGTGACTTAAAATAATCAACATCCATTCTCGATTAAGAATAAAAATGCAGAAGTGTTGTCACTCCTGAGGACTAAGATAGAATGCCTCGTTTCCAGTAAACAAATTTTCGATGATGACGTTTCGCAATTTTGTCATCGGTGTGGGTGTTTTAAGCCTGGTATAAACAAGGCTATACCGCTATCTATCGGTAGCCTACCACACGAAAAAATGAAATTATCATACCTCTTCAAATTTAAGCTCCTTTCTCGCCTCTTTTATATAGCCGCGGATGATATTCATTTGCTCTATAAGAGGATTATTATCGTCTACTTCTGGATTATTCTCTACTCGGCTCCCGCTCGAGCCAGCCTCTTCTCCTCTCCAATCTCTTTCTCTCTCCATCCTCTCCCTTTCCATCTGAACCTGCTTTTGCGCCCGCTCGTACCGTTCTCTGCGAACTTCGTCTATCTGCGCTTCTGTCGGTAATTTGCGTAGTGATAGGAGTTCTTCCTGTAAATGATATTTTTTTTAATTACAAGAAAATCTGACAATTCATTCCCTTTAATGGAATAATTGATATGGGACACGCTAAGATTTTTTGTCCTCCGCAAAATATCGGGAAAAATAATGAAATTTTTTTCCCTACTTTGCCATTAAAATCCTACTAATTTCCTATTACACTACTAATACTATAAATGTGAAAGTTTTGGTATGTTTGTTGTTCAATGACTTGAAAACTACTGAACGGGTAATGATGAAACTTGGCAATATTATAGATAACAAAACAGAATAGGACATGTGCCATTTTTTAGTTAAAAAATGTAGTCTATCCCAAATTACAGTCTTTTGATCCAAGGTGCTTCGTAATACGCTCCACCAACTATCGATTTCAATCATGGTGAAAAATTTCAAGTACTGTCGAAAACTTTTAATTTATTGCAAATGATATTACTGCCCTAAGGCATTGCACGCCCACATATAATATTATAAAGTTATTTATTTATTGATGTATGTCCTTTGATATTTTACTATATCAACGTTCATATAAATGAAAATATTGTAACGGCGAATGTAGTGGCCAATAGCATTGGCCAACGTGTAGAGCGGGTGTTTGGGCTTCATTTGTATGTATTGGCACGATGGCCCACAAGTTGGCGCGAGATCCGTGTGGTGTCGGTTTTTTACAAAAGATAAAAGGATTGTTGGCAGAGTTTGGTCGCCGCGTCCACACGTTGGGCGCGCGTTTAGTTTGCTACAAGCTCCCAGAGTGGTTACACGCATCCGATTCAAATTTTATATTCACGCTTTGTAGGTTGGATGCCATCAGCCTTTAGTGCCAATTTCAACTTTAAACATTCCTACTACTTTAACTAGCGCCATTTATTATTTTTAAGCATTTTTTAAATCGATAAGCTATTTTTCAAAAAAAATGAACATTTATTTACAATCACATTATTACGAGAACAATTTTAAAATGAAAAAAAATGAAGCACGTCGTTTATACGTGGTAGAACCATGCAGTTATATTAAAAGTATAGTTGTAGGACGAATGGGTCGGCTCGACCGGGGAAGGACCACGCTCTCACAGAATATCAGCGTAAAATAGTAGCTTAATGATGCTAAGTTTCGTCTAGTGAGTGTAGAGAACCAGAGACCCTTTTTAAAGGAAACGAGGTATTTCATCTTAGTCCTCATGGGTGACAACGCATCTGCATTTTGATTCGTAATCGAGGATAGATGTAGATGTCTGTGGGCCACAGTAACCACTTACCATCAGGTGAACTGTGTGCTCGTTTGTCACCCTATCCTATAAAAAAACGTCGATTTTTTATAATTTAATCGTGCTAGTTTTCGAACCATCATTATCATTACAGCTGTTCACAAGTCCAATCCAATCCAAAGTCCAATTAGTACCTATTGTTAAGTCAGTGTTAATTATATTTATTGCTATTGTTTTTGTCTTTCTCAAAAAATAATTAAATTACCAAATAAATTATAAGGTGTTTTTTATATACATCAAATGTCTGATAGAAAAGCAAGTAGGTACATGTTTTGCTAAACTTTAAAATCAAAACCCAATTTTAAAACATAGACTAATCGATTATAAATCCTTTAACTTTAAAATATGTAAAGTTCTAATTAATGGTATTTATTCCAGTTTGGTTATTCTGGTTTTACTGCGGATATCCTCATTTCTGAGTCTATCACGCAGAGAAACTCCGAGCATAGCCCTCTCCATAGCTCGCTGAGCGACCTTAAGCGTCCTCATACGGCCAGCAGTGAAGGACCACGTCTCAGATCCGTAAGTCATCACTGGCAACACGCACTGGTTGTCACGTCACTAGCCCAACGGATTAGTAAGCTGAAGTGGCAATGGGCCGGCCATATAGCTCGAAGAACCGATAACCGATGGGGAAGAAAGGTTCTCGAGTGGCAGCCTCGTACCGGTAGGCGTAGTGTAGGGCGACCCCCCACTAGATGGAGTGACGACCTGGTAAGACATGCAGGAAGTCGATGGATGCAGGTGGCTCAGGACCGTGCTTTGTGGCATTACTTGGGGGAGGCCTATGTTCAGCAGTGGACTTGTGAAGGGCTGTAATGATGATGATGATGATGATGATTCCAGTTTATGATGCATGTAAAGAATAAATAAAGCTAATCGTATATCGTATATCTATTTACAGCCCCATTAATATCCAGTATTCTTTTATAATTATTTTATAAAAACGTTAACCCCACACTTGGATTTTCTCCTGTATCCCGCAGGCAGCTTACAAACATAAATTGCACAAGGACACACATCCAGACCCGAAACAATTATTTGTAGGACATACAAATACTTCCTCCATGCGGGATTCAAACCCGCGGTCCCCGGCGCAGCCACTCATTGCTAAGCCACTCCGCCACGGAGCCGTCGTCTAAAATAAAATGAATTCGTCCGCACATTGGCCTGAACCGTAGCAAACTGAACGACCTTCCAACGTGTGGATGCCGTCACAAACTCTCGGCCAATATCTTCGTCACTACGATCGCCACTGTGTTGGCCAACGTGTAGAGCTGCCGTAATACTAATATAAGTATTTTACTGGCACAAGGACATATTAGGGACACTCACTCTGCCTGTGCAATAAAACTGGAGGCAAGCTAGGATACAGTAATACTAATTATATTATCCAAACCTTAATTTTTATTAAAATTAGGATACAGCAATAAAATTTCACACTTCAATAGACCAGCCATCTGTACAGAGTAGGATTACAGCACAGTTTAAAGAGCTAACAGTTGTGAAACGCCTATGATGTAAGTATTTACTATTTACGCCGTCATCACAGACATGCTAGAGGTTGTCACAAAATTGGGAATAAAATAATTTTGGACATTATAATATCAATTATCATTTATTAACATTACGTACATACTGTTTTCTAGAGAGCCTCACACTCGAACATTCTGCACCTGATCGGTCGGGGCCAGTATTTGCTAGAATATTCTGGATGTTTCGGTGAAAAAAGCCTATATAAAGCCGTTAAAAGCCGCGATCGGGCAGTGTTGAATTGGCGATACGAGCGAAGCTTTTAGCTTTTAACGTGGTAGAGCCATGCTGCAATTATATTAGTAGTATAGTTGTAGCACGAATGGGTCGGCTCGACCGGGAAAGGACCACGCTCTCACAGAATACCAGCGTGAAATAGTAGCTTAATGCTGCTGTATTTCGTATGGTGAGTGTAGAGAACCGGAGACCCTTTTTACTGGAAATGAGGCATTCCATCTCAGTCCTCACGGGTAACAACGCATCTGCATTTTGATTTGTAATGGAAGATAGATGTAGATGTCTATGGGCCGCAGCAACCACTTACCATCAGGTGGACTGTGTGCTCGTTTGTCACCCTATCCTATAAAAAAAAAGCTTTCGGAGCGAATTAAAGTGGACTAAAGTGTAATTAATTATTGGTGTGATTTAGGTTTTGAATGGTGTTCGGTAATTGAGGTGTCAATTTTGGTAGTTCAATCGGCAGTTTTTACTGTCGCGAACCTTAGGCTCGTGACGCTCGGGCAAGTTTAAAACATTTATTGAACAAGATCATTTTTATTACTACGAGAAAAAATACATTTTCAAGTGTTGCACTGCCGAATATTTTCGTGACACTGTCTTTTGATAGATGTTTCAGTTTTCGATTGTTAAATTTAACTATGTCGGGTATTATATATAGCATGTTTGCATTCGGATAAACAATTTTATCATAAAATAATGAGGGAAACATGGGCATGGCCGTCATTTGAATTAAACTTTACTTAGTAACTCATATAACTATAACAGTAATTCACCATTATATATATTATTATATTTTTTTAAAACGGCACTTAAAATAGTTATAAGAACTATAAAACACGCTCACGTTAACCGCATGTTTGTATGGCAGATATAGTGGAGTTCGCTGGCACAAAGTCGTGCCGCTCCCTGCCCTGCAAGGCCGCCGTTTTGCTTCGCAAGTACATTCGTTTTCCAACAATTAGACTCTCTTTAAATACTGATTATTGCGACCGAGTGTCTACGCAACATCGATGCACTCTCTATTCCCTCACTCGCATAGTCCGATGGAACAGTAATCAGACATAACTGGAGAGAGTTCAGGGGCAGAAACAACGGCTTTACGTGCTTTCCCAGGCACGGAAATATTAAATATATAAATACAATACAATACATACCTTAATAAAATGTGCTGCAGCTTGTCTTATAGAACTCTGTAGTTTTGCCTGCCTTGTTCCTGGATCCGCGGGAAAGCCAGCAATCTGCTTGCTCAGTAGGTCAATGCCCTCTGCCAGCTTGCCAATGCGACCGCGCAATGCATTCACATCCGATAAGTTGTACGTCGTCTCGCCATCAAAAAGACTTTGACACATCTAAATATTAAAAATAATGCATTAAAATTTTGGTGGGAAACTAAGAATGATTCTAAATATGACATACAGTCAGAACTATATCCCACTTTGGAAGTTTTCTTTTTTCGTAAATTTAATTTGAAGAAAATATGGAAGTTAATTGTTTTTGATTGTGGACTGCAGCGAACACAGGTTGAAGTGAGGCTGACAACTAGTAGATTCAGTAAGGCTCATAAAATTAGTTTATTTTAGGACATCAGACATACGATCTTTCAATTTTTCCAAGTAAAAGCTTGTTTAGAATCGCTGTGATTTAAATCTCAATGAAACAAGAAAGCGAACCTAAAAAGAGACAAACATGTACATCTATAGGGTTTAGTCTGCGAAGAAATGAGATAATAGTTCAGGCCATCTAGCGTGTATTTTACGTACCGCCACACACAATCAATTGCTGTTCGATAAAAACATTTTACCAAAAAAAATTTACTGTCGAAAAAACTGAAAAGAAAAAAATAATAAACCTTTTTCTTTTAACTATTAAGGTACTAAATTCTTAAAGTAATGTAAGTGTACCTACTATATATTTTTGTAATTATTTTGAGTTTTTAATTAACCTTAATAACTAAGTACTGAAACTCATGTAAGTATACTTAAGTAATTTTAAGTCGGCGGCAAGTAATCAATGAACAAAGATCACTAAATTACTGTTACGAGCTTAGGGTTCGTGACAATAAAAACTGCCGATTGAATTACCAAAATTGACACTTTAATTACTGAACACCAATTAAAACTTAAAACACTCCAGTAATTAAACACACTTAACACTTTAGTTCACATTATTTACTTAACACTTTAGTTCACTTTATTTCGCTCCGAAGTCTTCGCTCGTTTCGCCAATTCAATACTGCCCCGGTCGCGGTCCTTATGGCCTTTATATAGGACCTTTTCCACTGAAACATCCCGAATGTTCGAGTACATACCGGTCCCAACCGACCAAGTGTAGAAAGTTCCCTCCTAGTTCTGCCACTCGATAGTAGATGGCGCTGGAGGTGGAAAGCTCCAGCATGGCATTTTCTAGAAGGCTCTCCTCACTCTGCTAACCGACACTAGATGGCGCTAGAGGCATTAATTATGGCTTGCAACACTGCCCCCTCCTAAGACATGCTCATCCCGAGCATAATAACGCGCCAATCGATCCACATGGACGATCTTAGCAGTACCTCTTGCACCTTTCTGTATCCGGTAGGTTACGTCATTTATCCTTGTCACAATCCGGTACGGTCCTTCCCATTTAGCTTGAAGTTTAGGAGATTTCCCTTTGCTGCGGACTGGATTGTGCAACCACACTAGTGAACCTTCGTCAAACCCCTTGTTAATTTTGCGGTCATACCGGGTTTTCATCTTATCAGACATTTGCTGGCCCGATTTTCTGACGTGCTCATAAATGTCATTCATTTTGTTCCGCAAGTCATTTGCATAATCGGTTATACTGCGTGGGGCATCAGGTGATACTCCGGTGATCAGGTCTGCAGGCAGCCGTAATTTTCTTCCAAAGTTTGCGAAAGCTGGTGTCACTGATGTACTTTCGTGAACAGCGCTTCGATATGACAACAAAAACGGTTGTATGTGCTTGTCCCAATCTCGTTGCTGATTGTCTACAACTTTTGCTAGGTACCTCTACAATGTCTGAATTAATCGACAGCAAATGACAGCTGTCTCCCCGATCATTTTCCTATTTACGGCACAGAACTCCATCCTGAAGCAGCAAGCTGTCCCATTGAGCCCAATAGCTTTTAGTGGTCAAACTCATCGCTGAGACGTCGCTCCACTTGGGCTTGGGAGCACTGGCCTTCATCCATTCCCGAATCGGCTTGATGTCCGGATCTTCCTGCTGTGCAATAGCTTTTAGTGGTCAAACTCATCGCTGAGACGTCGCTCCACTTGGGCTTGGGAGCACTGGCCTTCATCCATTCCCGAATCGGCTTGATGTCCGGATCTTCCTGCTGTGCATGTTGTAAGCGGTCCTTCCATTCGTTGCTGAGGTGGTCTGTCCTAAGCATCCTCACAGATACCACTTCCTTACCCTCTTGCCTAGTACAATGCTTGCAATCTTCAGGGCAAGGTCTTCTTGACAATACATCTGCGTTGCCATGAGATTTCCCGCTTCGATGTTCAATTACAAAGTCGTATTCATGCAATAGTTCAATCCACCTACACTGTGGATTTTTACATGCACCATTTTAGTGCAGCATGTTCAGTTCGTAAGTGAAAGTTTCCGTCCCAGAAGATATTTGCTAAAATGCTGCAACGACTTTACCACAGCCATCAATTCGCGTCTTGTTACACAATAGTTCCTTTCCGGTTTTGACAACGACTTGCTGAAGTACGCTATCACAAACTCTCGATCACCATTCCGTTGAGACAGCACACCGCCAAGTCCTGTATCACTTGCGTCTATGTCAACTATAAATAGGTGTTTTGCACAGACGGTCCTTGAGCTCCTGGAATGCGATATCGCTACTTTCATCCCAGCAGAAATGCCGCTTCTCCTCGGTTAGCTTGTACAGAGGTTTGACTATATCTGCAAAGTTCTTCACAAATCGCCGATAATAGGAGCACAAACATAAAAATGCTCTAACCTGTGTCTTGTCTTATGGATCCGGCCAATCCCTGACAGCGGCGATTTTCTCTGGATGCGTGCGGATACCTTCTTCCGACACTACATACTCCAAAAAATTTACTTTCCGTTTGAATAGTGAACATTTCTTCGGACTTAACTTGAGGTTGGCACTCCGAATCTTCATGAGCACGCGTTCCAGGTTTTGAAGGTGTTCCTCAAACGTACGGCCTACGATGATAATGTCATCCAAGTAGACCAGACAGGCATCGCCAATTGGCCCGGTAAGTGCAAGTTCCATCAGCTTTTCAAACGTTGCTGGAGCATTGCACAATCCAAACGGCATTACTTTAAATTGCCACAGACCCTTTCCCGTCGAGAACGCGGTTTTCTCCTTATCCTTAGGGTCAATTTCAACTTGCCAGTAGCTACTTTTTAGATCCAGCGTGCTAAACCACTTTACTCCTGTAAGCATGTCCAGCGTGTCATCAATTCTTGGCAAGGGATAGCTGTCCTTCTTTGTAACGTCGTTCAGACGGCGGTAGTCAACACAAAACCGCATGCTGCCGTCCTTCCTTCTATTCCCTCAATCATAGTTAACACTTCATTTTCACATGCTACCGGCAATCTTCTTGGCCGCTGACAGATAGGCAATTCTTCTCCTGTGTTTATTTTGTGTTGAACTAAGCCAGTCTTCCCTATGTCAGCAATTGTTTGACGAGAATACATCGGCGTATTTGAGTAACAACTTCTTCGCCTTGACCATTTCATTCGGGGAGAGAATGCTGCGACAGTCTTCTAAAAGTGTGGTCACTCTCATTTGTGCATCCTTGCTGAGGGTCACACTGGATAGATATTGTCACCGGCGCAACCAATCCACTTCCTCACAAGTATCAACCAGCGTGCCTTTTTCTATAATCTGTTCCGCGCCCTATTTTCCCACACTTAGGGTAAATTTATTTTCTAAATTTATATGGGACCAATTTCGAGGTATACCCTATCCAATAAAATAAGAATTATCAAAACCGAAGTAATATGTAATAACACCCTTATTTTCCCACCCTTAGGATAAAAACTTTTTTTTCCAAATTTATATGAGACCAATTTCAAGGTATATCCTATCCACTAAAAAAGTATTATCAAAATCGCACTACTCTGTAAAAAGTTATGCGAGGTCATACATAAAAAAAATATATACGCGTCGAATTGAAAACCTCCTCCGTTTTTTCGTCGGTTGAAAATGACTTCACCAATAGAATTAAGTAGAAGGCGCTATTTCAATTTTACTTGAAAGAAAAAATTTGAATATTCTTTTGATTTATTACATTATAATTTAGGCTCTACATGTCTACATGTTAGTATTTTTTTGCTATAAAATTAAACTTATATTTTATACCGCTCTTGTGGTTGAAAATTATTGTATTAAATAAATCATATGTCATGAAATATTTATATTTATTTCATAGCATTTGAATGCTTCACTTCGACCACGTGTGATCTGCACATATGTTTTTTTTTTACTACCAGTCTTGATCTGACTTTTTTTAACAATTTTTTTAATCAAAACCTCCATTAGCCAATATTTTTTAATCAAAACTCTTAATAAAATATAGTCAAAAGTTTTGACCAAGAGAGTTTTAACTATAACATACAAATATATTTTTAAAAATATAATGTATCTAAGCAAATAAAGTACAAAATTTATAACTATATAAAATCAATATTTTTATAAATTTTAATTCATAAAAATATATAATTTCGAAAAATAATAGCTAAAGTAAATAAATTTTAATGTTAATAGTAAAACAAATGCTTTTTTTAATTAAATATGAATCTACCTTTTCATACATTGCAACAGCGGGCCTAGCCTGATCCATCAAACTCCGCATTTGCTCATATGCTGTCACTAGAACAGTCTTTGCATTTCGACTATCCTGGATTTGCTTCCTCAGCTCTATGAGATTAAAACAGTGCTCGCAGAGCCTTAGGCCATTTTTTTCAGTTACTTCTTGATCTGCTTGTGTTGAAGCTTGAGGTAAAGATGGATCAACTATTGATTCTGAAATTGAGATATTTTTCAAAGATAATTAAAAAAGTATAAACACACTGAAATTATTATCAGACTGTTGACCTTTAAAACCTTTAGCTTAACTTTTATAAATTTTGTATAGTAATTAGCACCTTTTACATTGTTTTGCCTTTAATAAGACATTTATTTTAAAAACTGTTCTTTTGTTTATCTTAGATAAATAATCGATTTTTTATCAGAGATGGCACTAATAGTGATTTTGCCGAATACCTAATAATAATATACGGCCACGCTCTTGGCCAAGCACCAATTAACAGCTTCATGGAATTTACAATTCTAGATATTCAAGGTTCTAGATATTTATAGACAGTCGGATACTTATGTCCTTACCTACTTAATAAATATATGCATAAATATGCCAAATTATGCAATACAGAAATGCATAAATGAATACATATGAATTACAGGGATATTTGTAGCACATTAATTCAATTTTCAAAAATGTTGTTAATAATACTTTTTTTCCATACTTTAATAATTTGTTAAACATTGATTAGTTTTTCTTTTATTATTACGTCATATAGTTGTTTGACTAGCAGATCCTGTAAGGCAAAGTCAACTTAAAGTCTATGAGCATTGTGCACATAATAAACTGAAGTTTTTATTGTCACATTCCTAAACACCTAAACAATAACTAAGTGATTCACAAGTCAACTACAAAAGATAATAAGCAAACAAATGAAGTAGAGTCTATTTTTCTACCTTAGCATACCTACAAGAAGTTTATGCAGAATTCATAAAATTTTCAGCCTAATTAATGTTTTTTCCTAGTAACGACTCAAGTGCCCACGGTGACTGTAGTCCCCACAAAAATTCTTGCATTAGCTGTCCATGGTGACTTGATCAAACATGTTATAAGTTTTCTGTTCTAATGCGTTATTTCTAATGTAATTGTACATCAAATCAATTGAGAAGCAATTATCTTTAGGAAATATGTATCACTACGACAGTTCCAAAACTAATAATTCAGCTTGAGATTTTAATTTTTTATATGTGGTAGAGCCATGCCGCAGCTATAATGGTTGTAGCAGGAATGAGTTGGCTCCACCGGGGAATGACCACGCTCTTATAGAATACCAGCGTAAAATAGCAGCTTAATGCTGCTGTGTTTTCTATGGTGTGTAGAGAACCGGAGACCTGTTTTACTGAAATTGGGGCATTCCATCTTAGTCCTCAAGGGTGACAATGCATCTGCATTTTGATTCTTAATCAAGGTTAAAAATGTAGATGTCTATGGGCCACAGCATCCACTTACCATCAGGTGGACTGTGTGCTCGTTTGTCATCCTTATCCTATAAAAAGAATAAAAAACAACACTAATATGTGATCATTGTTTATGATTATACATCGTTTAAAATTTATTCTAATCGGTTGTTTTTGTTACATAAATGCTAAATATAAAAGAATGCTTCACTATTAACATGTTAGTGTGTCTAGAAATAATAAAAATGCAACTCATAGTAGAGTAAATATTATATATTTATCTATACTGCTACTACTACTGTTCGCAAATTGTCATGCTGATCACAGAAATGTCAAAATCTAAAAAAAAATTGGACGTCATTTTTCTTCCAATCTTGCTGTACTGAATATTTACGTAGTTCCGCTAATTTTTGTTGCAAAAATAATAGCGCTGCTGTCGATTTGTGAATACTTTCATTTATGGCCGTATTTGACTTCTGCACAAAATTAAGAGATGCGACGTTGCCGTTCCGTCGCCGTTGCCAACGTGTTACTTGTATTTGGTGATATATGGTTATGACTGCCACGTTGGTCTAGTGGTTGTAGTAGTGCGACTGCTGATCGTGATGTCCTGGGTTCGAATCCCGGGTCGGGCAAAAAAATCAATTATTGAGTTTTTCTGTCAAGTAATTCTCAATAGCTGCCCGGAGTCAGGAAGTTGGCGGTGTATCACCCCCGTGCCTCGGAAAGCACGTAAAGCCGTTGGTCCTGCGCCTGATCTCTCTCTGGTCGTGTCGGTTTACCGTCCCATCGGATTATGAGAATGAGTCAAAAGAGAGTGTACCTGTGGTTGCGCATGCACTTGGGCACTATAATCCAGTCCTGCGCCGATGGCTAGCCGCCATGACCGAAATTCGGTCTGGAGGACATTATTATATGGTTTATACTGCGCTTGGTACTAGTAATTTTACTTTTAAACTTGTTTTCTTAACCTTACATTTACCTATACATAATATGAACGTCCGAATATCCTAAAACTTTCAAATTGAATGATATTTGACACCCGTATTTTTGATTTTAGTTATATTTTTGTAATTAATGTAGATGCGGATGTCGGCTTATCGGTTTATTTCATGCTGCACTATATTTTAACATTTTACATTTGGTACTAATCTGCCTAAAAGAACTCTTGTTAGGTATTTCGTAAGCAACCCATAATTCTGTTTCAGTATAAGTTACCTTCTGATCGAGTACAGGAAGATGGACTCAATTGTAGATATTGACAGGTTTCATAGAAGTTTGTTTTATTATATTGTGACTAAAAACCTCTCACTAATAACCTAATATAGTCTGGCAAAGAAACTCATTTTAATATAAGGTTTTACTGCATTAACTGCCAATAGGTTGTTAATTTCTACAATAGACCGTGGCATATTGTTGCTGACATTACTCTGAAAATATAATTTATTTACTTGATGGTGTTGAGTTTTGGTGCTCTCACTGCATCTTAAGGATGAGTGCGAGTATTGTACCTAATCTGTACGAAATTACTCTCTACTTAACTAGATTCATTTTTGTGAAAGGTTATTTTTGTTAAATTATGATATTATGTTTGGTTTTGCAGTTAGTTGAAATACAATTTAATTTTTCACATACGTTTTCTAAGCTTCTAAGCGTTTTATCATTAATAGAATGAAACATTTTATAAAACAACAAAGTGACTATTATACACCGCATGGCCTCCCTCCCTCCTCCCTACACTAAAATACGAATAAAACAATAGCGAAAAATGTCAATAAAGCAATGATCATTAATGTGTGTCTTATACACAAGGAAATAAAATATAAATATATTCATGGTTATATGGACGTCCAATATCGTGCGGTATTAAACTTTACCGATAATATAACTTCCACATATAGAAATATAACAAAATTCAAAAATATGGACGTCAAATATCATTCAGTATGAATGTTTTAGGATATTCGGATGTCCATATTATTATGTGTACACAGGTAGTAAATTAAAGTTAAAATTTTGGCGCACACAGTGCCCCTAAAACCGCTACAAACGGCAACATTTATCAAAAAAAGAAATAAGAAAGGTTTTCTAAGCGTTTTATCGTTTCTAGAATGGAGCATTTTATGAAACACCAAAGTGACTATTTCATACCGCATGGGCTCCCTACACTAAAATAAAAATAAAATAATAGCGAAAAATGTCATTAAAGTAATGATCATTAATGTGTGTCTAATACATAAGAAATTAAAATATAAATATATTCATGGTTATATGGACGTCAAATATCGTGCGGTATGAAACTTTACCGATAATCTGAGGTCCACATATAGAAATATAACAAAATTCAAAAATATGGACGTCAAATATCATTCAGTATGAATGTTTTAGGATATTCGGAGGTCCATATTAATTATTATATGTAGCTAAATCTAAGGACACCAAAACAAATTGGAAAGTAAAATTATCTACTAGCACTGAGTACAGTATAAACCGACAAAAAATACCAAAATATGCTTTGAGCACTAAATAAATAATCAACATAAATAAATAGTAAAATGAAATAATCAACAACAACTTTGGACATCGGATATTGAAGAAGTGGACGTCAAATAAAACTTAGTGTGAATATTTTGGGATATTCTTACGTCCGTATATGGGTAAATATTCAGTTCAATGTCCATGTCAAGTACATTAACCAACTTACGTAAGTTTATTTACCAAGTTACTAAATATAACCAAATAAACTTAAATGCAAGTAAGCATAAGCGTGGAAAGTTCTCAATGTGCATAGGTCACAATACAGACGCCAATTAGAGCATGATATGCATGTTTTTAGTAATATAGTGTCCAATATTTATAACAACAAACACAAACAAATTGTATTTCAACTAACTGCAAAACAAAACATAATTTAACAAAAATAGCCTTTCACAAAATGAATCTAGTTAAGAAGAGTAATTTTGTACAGATTAGGTAAATAGTTCGCACTCATACTTAAGATAGTGATTATAAAAAGTAAACTCGCAGTGAGAGCACCAAAACTCAATACGATCAAGTAAATAAATTATATTTTCGGAGTTATTCATGTCAGCAACAATACGCCACAGTCTATTGTAGAAATTAACAACCCATTGGCAGTTAATGCAGTAAAACCTTATATTAAAATGAGTTTCTTCCCAAGATCATATTAGGTTATTAGTCACAATATAAGAAAATGAACTTTTTTTTTTTTTTTTTTTTTTTTTATAGAAGAGGGGGGCAAACGAGCTTGTGGGTCACGTGATGTTATGTGAATACCGCCGCCCATGATCAACCGCAACACCAGGGGAATTGCAGGTGCGTTGCCGGCCCTTTAGAAAGGAGTAAGCTCTTTTCTTGAAGGTCCCCAGGTCGTATCGGTCCGGAAAAATCACCGGTGGTAAATTATTCCACAGAGAGGTTGTACGCGGAAGAAAACTCCTTTTGAAACGTACAGTGGTGGACCGCCAAGCATCCAGATGGTGTGGATGGTATCGGGACGTTTGCCGTGTAGTGCGTTCACGAAATTTGGCGGCTGGGATTAATCCGAACAATTCCTCAGAGCACTCCCCGTGATAGATGCGATAAAATACGCAAAGAGATGCAACATCTCTTCGCAGCGCCAGTGAATCGAGCCGATCGGAAAGCACTCGGTCGTCGACGATTCGAGCCGCTCTGCGTTGGATGCGGTCAAGTGGAAGGAGCTGGTACTGGGGAGCCCCAGCCCAGAGATGGGAACAGTATTCCATGAGCGGCCGAACCTGCGCCTTGTAAAGTTGCAGGCGGTGTGCCGGCATGAAATACTGTCCCGCTCTGCTGAGCACGCCAAGCTTTTTTAGAGGCCAATTTGGCCTTCCCTTCCAAGTGACCACGAAACTGCACGTCATTCGATATGTCGACGCCGAGGATTCCGATACTGGCTGAGGCAACAAGGGGAGTGCCTTGAAACTGAGGGGATACGACAAAGGGGTTCTTTTTAGCGGTTAACGCGCAAACTTGTGTCTTCTGGGGGTTAAACTGGACTAGATTTAGTCGCCCCCAATCCGAGACTCTGTCCAGCAGAGACTCGACTTCAGACACAAGTTTGTCCCGGCACTCAGAGACGTTTTCCCGAGAAATATTTGCTCGGCCGGTGTAAAGAGCATCACCAGTGCTGTCATCTGCATAGCAATGAATGCTACGGGTTTGCAACATATCATTGATATGCAGAAGAAACAGCGTTGGCGATAGCACGCAGCCCTGTGGAACACCAGCATTAATAAGCTTGCAATCGGAGCTTGCACCGTCTACAACGACCTTGATGCTCCGATCTGCAAGAAAACTGGTGATCCAATCGCACAATTTCTCGGGAAGCCCATAGGAAGGGAGCTTCGAAAGAAGCGCTTTGTGCCAAACCCGATCGAAGGCCTTCGCAATGTCCAAACTAACGGCCAATGCCTCCCCCTTGGACTCTACTGCCTCCGCCCATCTGTGAGTTAGGTAGACCAGAAGATCACCAGCTGACCTACCACGGCGAAAACCGTATTGGCGGTCACTAATCAGCTGGTGATCCTCAAGGTACCTCATGAGCTGGCAGTTTACAATGGACTCCATTGTTTTGGAGAACAAGGAGGTGATGGCGATAGGCCGGTAGTTAGACGGGTCTGAGCGGTCGCCTTTTTTTAGGGATCGGGTGGACGAAAGCCGTCTTCCATGATTTTGGGACTACGCCTAGGGAGTAGGAGTACCGGAAAAGACGCGTTAAAACCGGTGCCAACTCTGGAGCACACGTCCTCAGCACAATTGGGGGGATTCCATCAGGCCCACTCGACTTATGGATGTCCAGGGAGAGGAGTGCTTTGCGAACCGAGCGCTGAGTGAAGTGCACTTCCGGCATGGAGCACTCACACCGCGGGATGGTCGGCGGCGTACTCCCCCCGTCATCGAGAGTCGAGTTAGACGCAAAGAAAGAGCCTAGAAGATCGGCTTTCTCCTTTGCGGTGTGGGCCAGTGAGTCGTCCTCCCTGTGCAGAGATGGAAGAGATGGCTGACAGAAATTCCCCTGGACAGCCTTGGCGAGAGACCAGAATGCACGGGTTCCAGAAGGAAGACGAACTAGTCTCTCGCCAATTCTGCTTATGTGCTCTGACTTTGCCTTGGCAATGACTCTTTTGAAGGACCTAGAGGCGGAATTATACTTCTTTTTTAGAGCGCTGGTGTTTACATCCCTGGACGCTGATGCGTCAGCCCAGGCTTGGTAGCACTCCTGCTTATAGCATGATGCTATTTTACAGGAGCGACCAAACCATGGCTGAGATTTGCCTCCAATGGGCACCACAGAGGAAGGAATAAAAAGTTCCATACCGTGAAGTACCACATCAGCGACAGAATCCGCAACAACGTTGGGATCATCCGGCGAGAAGCAAACCCGCCCCCAAGGGTAGGATGCAAAGAAAGACCGCATCCCATCCCAATCGGCTGACCTATAGTGCCAAACACGGCGGCAGCCTGCAGAATGCAACCGCGATTTCAGCGTGAGTGGCACCACACTCCGGACAAGACAATGGTCCGAGGAGCCTAAAGGGGCGTCGACGGAAATCTGATATCCGTCCGGGTGAGAGGTCAGCAGAAGGTCCAACAGGGAAGGTGCATGATCCTCCACATCTGGAATCCGCGTAGGCGAAGTAACCAGTTGTGTCAGACCATATGCCAAGGCAAAATCATGAACAGATCTCCCCGCATGATCGGTTAAACGTGAACCGAGCCATTCGGCGTGATGGGCGTTGAAGTCGCCGAGGATCACGATCTCTGCGGAGGGGATCTGCTGTAGCAACGAATCTGCAGCCATTTGGACGTGGTCGAAGAGTCGGTCTGTTTCGGCATTACCGCTATGGGACCTGTAGAGGCACCCGTAGACGCGCGGATGGTCGTCGCTATCTACGCGTAGCCAAAGGATGGACAGGTCCGAACCTTCAAGTCTGCCGAGGCGTCGAGAACAGATGTCCTCTCTGAACTTCTATTAAACCTGTCAATATCTACAATTAGTACTTATTTACATTAGTAAAATAAATAATAATATAGTCAATCTATATTGTATCACGGCTGGGCAATCCTAGATATTTTTTCGTATTTAGTAAACGAATAACTAGTTGGTAAATTAATCATGATATCTATCTGTTTTTTTTTCACTGGAGACAAAAATGATATTGCGTATTTTTCGTAACTGCACATTCTGTGGATTTATTTCATTATTTTGAACAATATACGAAACTTAAGTGACTAAAATTAAATCTAATCTGAAACAGAATCATAAAAACTGTATTATTCATGCTAAACGAATCTAATAAAGATCTGTTATTTTTGTCTCCTGCGAAAAAAACAGACTATACTTACTCTTATTAGTTATTTATTACAAAGCGGAATAACTAATAAGAGTGGCAACGTCGCACCATACAAAGGAATTGCATTAAGCAGGAGAATCAGGAGGTGATAAATTTATTGTGGATACAAGTGCATTGATAAACACAGAAAAAAGCAACGGAGATAAAACACCCCCTTGAGGAACACCAGCAACAATGTTACACCAATTGGAGAATTTATCATCAACACGTATGCTTTGCCAGCGTCCCCGAAGATAGGAACTGAACCATTGTAGAACTGACAATGTTAAATTCAGGGATTTCATAATTGCTAACAGGATGGACAGGATTAAATACTGAATTTTTTGAGCCTTTCGTGAATATTTTTTATTTGAATGTGCTCTACATTAGTACATACATATACAAGTAGTTTTTCATTAGTAATCGTTTTTGTTGAATGTCTTGTGCAGTTGTAAAAATAAAAGTGATATTAAATATATGGATAGGTCGGATGAAAATAACTTGCATGGCTTCGACGGTTGAATGGTTAATAAAACAGATATGCCCGTTTTATTTTTTTTTATAGATATATGTAATTGTGTATTTTTTTAATTAAACATGAAATCCTGCAATAAGCTCCGTACTATAGTACTTACTTGCTATATTTATATCAAGAAAAACTGAGCAGTCATGGCACAATATAGAACCACAAAGACGACAGTGATGCTTTCTCCTAGTGAGATTGAAAGCTTTTGCACAATTGGGACAAAGTTTCACTGAAGATCCATCCAACCATGGTACAACCTGGAATCAAGAAGTGAATATAGTAGAGTTAAAATATTATGGCAAAATGAATATAGAAAACTTCTAATTAAATACAACTATATTAAAATCCTCTAGGAAAATATAGATTTATCAACTACTATAATTGATAAATCTATATTTTCTTAGATGATTTTGTTGTGATTGATTTATAATTTTAATTAATAAAATATAATCTATTTTTAGTTTTCATCATAATAAGGCATGAAATACACATCTAGAAAAATGTGATTAAAATAGAGAAACCATGTAAAACATTCTAAAACTATTAAATTTTATGTTGCAAGCATTAATGGCTATGAAGAATGTCACTAAAATTACTCACTTCCTGTTCATGTGCTTTTCTTTGATTTAGCTCACTGGGCATATTACAAACAAGCTTATCTAATCGAATAAGCAGCTTATTCGTTTCAGTTGCATATCTTTCTAGTCTCGCCGATCTGACACCCTTGAAATAGTCCGTCGAACAACGTGACACGCCTATTACTTGTTCTTCGCTAGGATAATAGTATTCCTGGGAATTAAATTTTAAAGCCCGATCAAATGTTTCTTTCAAGTCGTCTTCATTATTTAATATTATTTTTTTCGCTTTTCCAAATATGTCTTTTAAAGATTTAAGGACGTCCTGTTCTTCCTGGTGTAAACTCTCAAAGTGATTCGTTAACTGTGTAGCAGATTTTAAATCTGCTTTACAAATAGGACACAGAAAACCTTCTAATATTTCATCCTCATTTGCAGCTGCCATTATTTATATTAAAACTAACTGCACATTTTATTAAATATTAATACCAAAATAAATAGCAAATTTTATGATAACGTACTCCCATTTACTACTGCAACAACATTGAACATCAACATTCATTTTCATTCGCATTTCGCTAATTCTCAATATTCACATTGACAAGTGACAAACGTCATCCGTCATTTTCAAATCATGTCACACCAGTGTTGCCAGATGACTTGAACCTTTTATCTGTATTAGCCTAAAATCTGTATTAAATCTGTATGCCATTTAAACTTAAAATCTGTATAATCAAATAAAAGTTGACATCTGGCACTAGCGCCATCTAGTGTCGGGTAACGGAGCGAGGGGGAGAGCTTTCCAGAAAATGACATCACTAATCTTTCAACCGACAGCGCCATGTGTTGTCGAAACGAAGAACTAAGCTTCTGGAAGCTGACTAGAACTTTCGACGCTTTGTCGATTGGTGCGCGTATTTACTTGAATGTTCTGGATGATTCGGTACTAATGTGTATTTATAGGCGCTGCAAGGTGCGATCGAGTAAGTATTGAATTTGGCAAGACAAGCGAAGCTTCGAAGCGAAATAAAGTGAATCAGTGTGATTAATTATTAGTGTTTTAAGTTTAATTTGTGTAAAGTAAATTAAAGTGTTAATTTAGGTAATTTTATCGGCAATTTTTATTGTCACGAACCTCAAGCTCGTAACAATTGGTGTCAGAAGTGGGATAAAATCATGCCGATTTTAACTAAGGAGGAAACGGAGGGTGTCCGTACCCGAAGTCAACGCCAGCAGGAGACGGACCAAAGAAGATTTGGTGGTGCAACGCCGCAGATGTCGGAGGGCCAGCCACCGGCTGCAGGCCCGTCAGTAGCCCCTACATCTGCAGCACCTGAATTAGGTGCTCTGATGGTGATGCTGCAGGAGCAGGCTCACCGACAGGAGGAACAGGCTCGCCAGCAGGCGGAACAGGCACGCCGATTGGAAGAGCAGCTGCGGGGTGGACAGGAGGAACAGGCCCGCCGACAGGAAGACCAGGTTCGTCGTTTGGAGGAGCAGCTGCGGGGCGGACAAGAGGAACAGGCCCGTCGGTTGGAAGAGCAGATGCTCCTCATGAAGTACCTTCACGCTAACTTCGGGAAGGAGATAAAGGAGGTGAAGGATAGGGTTGCTCAGCATGACAGCCGTCTGTCGGAAGCTGAAACCCAAATCGCTAAAGCTGAAAATGGCTGAAAACCGAATCGAAAAAGCTGAAACCCGAATCGACCAAGTAAACCATCGGGTTGACAACGTAATGGCTGACATGAAGAAATCACTGGACGAACTCAAACTTGGAGATGGAGCTACAGCTCCCGTAGTAGCTACAACACCTTCGCTACGTGGGTTCAAGGTGCCACCGTTCTACGGTACCTCTTCCTGGTCAGCCTACAAAATCCAGTTCGAGGCTGTTATGAAGGCGAACGGCTGGAATAAAAGTCAGGCCATGACTGCTCTCACACTAGGCCTGCGCGACCAGGCCTTAACAGTTCTGGAAGCTCTCAGTGAGGAAGTGACTTATGAACAACTCCTTGAGGCATTGGAGGCGAGATATAGCGACGCTCACCTGGAACACGTCTTTCGTGCTCAGTTTAAAGATCGCGTGCAGCGCATCAACGAAAACCTGCAGCAGTGGGCTCTAGAGGTGGAGAAGCTGGTGCGAAAAGCATACCGGTCTGTACCTGCGCTCATTGAAGGGAACCTGGTGCAGACATTCATCAACGGCATCCGCGACCTGGAAGTCAGAGCTGCTGTGAGGCTCGGGCACCACGAGACGCTTAAGGAAGCCTTGGCCAGTGCATGCACTGGAGGTGGAAGCCGTGCGGCAGGATCATCGTCCCCATCGCGTCAGGGAGGTTGCAGCAGCTACAGTTCGCGACCGCAAAAAAGGATACAGCCCTAGGTGCTATGGGTGTGGGGAAAGGGGCCATCTTCGCTCCAGCTGCCCTAAGCGAACTCTAGAAAGGGAAGGCGAACGATCTCAGAGGGGAAGTGCGGCTAACATCACCGTCCAGCAGCAGCCGGGATACGACTTTACTATCAGACACCGCAGCGGGAAATCTCATGGCAAAGCAGATGCATTGTCAAGAAGACCTTATCCTGAAGATTGGAAACATTGTACTAGGCAAAAGAGTAAGGAAGTGATATCCGTGAGGACGCTCAGGACGGACCACCTCAGCAACGAGTAGAAGGACAGCCTACGACATGCACAGCAGGAAGATCCGGACACCAAGCCGATTCTGGAATGGATGAAGGCCCGTGCTACCAAGCCTAAGTGGAGCGACGTCTCAGCGATGAGTTCGACCACTAGAGGCTATTGGGGCCCAGTGGGACGGCTTGCTGATTCAGGATGGAGTCCTGTGCCGTAAATGGAACAATGGTCGAAGGAGACAGCTGGCGTTTGCAAATGGTTGTCCCTAAGGCTAAAGTGCCGAATGTTCTACAGCTGTGCCATAATGGTCGTTCAAGAGTCCATCTGGGAGTTAAACGAACTTTGTTGAAGGTCCGAGAACAGTTTTACTGGGTCTATTATCGTGACGATGTCGAGCCTTGGTGTCGTACATGTACAAGTTTTGCGGCCGTGAAGGGACCTCAGACACGTAGTAGAGGAGCACCGAAATTGTACAAGGTTGGTGCACCATGGGATAGGACAGCCCTTGAAATTGCGGAGCCGTTATAGAAAGGCGCAAGAGGGACTCCTAAGATCGTCCATGTGGATCGCCTGGCGCTTTATTATGGGGCCGATAATGCTCGGGACGAGCATGTCTTAGGAGGGGGCAGTGTTGCGCGGCTAAGTTGACATCTGGCACTAGCGCCATCTAGTAGTGTCGGGTAACGGAGCGAGGGGAGAGCTTTCCAGAAAATGACATCACTAATCTTTCAACCGACAGCGCCATCTGTTGTCGAAACGAAGAACTAAGCTTCTGGAAGCTGACTCTAGAACTTTCGACGCTTTGTCGATTGGTGCGCGTATTTACTTGAATGTTCTGGATGATTCGGTACTTATGTGTATTTATAGGCGCTGCAAGGTGCGATCGAGGAAGTATTGAATTTGGCGATACAAGCGAAGCTTCGGAGCGGAATAAAGTGAATCAGTGTGATTAATTATTAGTGTTTTAAGTTTAAATTTGTGTAAAGAAAATTATAGTGTTAATTTAGGTAATTTTATCGGCAATTTTTATTGTCACGAACCTCAAGCTCGTAACAATAATTATTGACTATCATCATCATTGCTTCTTTTAAAAAACAAGGAACAACTGCAAACGTGATAGGGTGTAATTATCGTTATTAAATAAAAATATACACTAAAATGTTATATAGCAAAATTGAGACCATTAATTTAAACGAACAACATATTAAAACTCAAACATTTGCAACAAACGAACTAATAATAACTTTATTATTTTCAATCATAAATATTTTATATACTGGTGACCTTTACCCTTTACCCTGTACCGTCTGGAAAAAATAGGCTGTAACGTGTGAACGGAGTAGAAGCCTATCTTATGATACTGAAATATAACAAAAAATAGAAACAAAATTTTTCTATAAAATAAATAAATCATTAAAATCTATCGAATTTCAAATCATATCCATCCTACTTCACGAACGGCAATAAAACAATAAATTTAGTAGGAATATTCGACCCTGTCACTTGGCAGGGTCACAAGCTAAATGGCAATGGGCAAAGTAATTAATCAAAAAAACAAAACGCTTAATGCAGTTTTTGTTTTTATTTTTTGTAAAATATCAGTGACGATTTCTTATATTTACGCGAACACTACACATTGATTAAAACTACTTTTACGGATTTTATCGCGTTTATTTTACTATTATTTTTAATTCCCGACGTTTCGGGCGCTTTCCAGCACCCATGGTCACGGGGGACTGAGATGACTGACGTCCCGATGTCATTGTTAAACCCGGAGTACCTTCAGCTTTTTAAATTATTGTTTATGGTCCGATCTATGCAAAAAATGAACTGACTATGTCCTGAGGTCTTGCGGTAGTATGCTTGGGTTTAGTTTTAATTTTATTGATTATAGGGATCCCAAGCAGGTGGTAGTACCCAGCCTCCTTCTCTATTGAAATAAGGATGTTTTTTAATCTCAATAGCCTCACGTATCATCCTTGGTAGGAATCGGTGTTCTTTCGCGAGGATTTGTGGTCTATCAAATCTGATGTAATGGTTGGGGCTGTCTAGGATATGATCGCAAACTGCAGACTTCCCGGAACGTTGATGCTTCACATCTGCTATATGTTCTTTTACGCGGGTTCTAATTTATCTTTTTGTTTGTCCTATATAAGAGAGACCACATTCACAATCAAGCTTGTACACTCCTGCATCTTGTAGAGGAATATGACACTTGACTGATGGTAGGAACTGACTAATCTTCTTCGGCGGCTTGTAGAATGTTCTAATAGAAGCTCGCTTCAAGATGTGGCCAATCTTGTCTGTGACACCTCTGACATATGGTAGTACAGCAGGCACACGCTCGACTGTGGCCGGCTTCATATATATATATATATAAGAATTGCTCGTTTAAAGGTATAGGATATACAGACTTGCATAATATGAACATAAATGCACAAACGCTGCATCTGTCAAGGGATATTCAGTCATGGCATATAATAATACTATTCATTCAACGACAGGATTAACACCCTTTGAAGTACCATTTGGTCATACCGATTCTGGTAAAATATTCGACGTAGATTTTGAAAAGGCATATACACAGCAACTCATTAAAGACCACGCCAGACGAACCAAATACTTACTTATATAGGTATATTTCCGAAAAAGTCCACAGATAAAGAAAAGTTTAGTAAAAAGAAAAGCGGGGAATCTAGAATTGATTTTAAAGAAGGTGATACGGTTTTTATTAAAGATACTAACATAAAGAAAAGTAAGGATACCTAGGCTGCACTAAAAGTATCGGAAATGGAATATTTCCACTGTTCCTGTCATATTAAAATCTTTTTAATTGAAAACTCCTTGGTTTTAAAAAATGGAATACCATTTATTTATTTAAATAAAGATTCTCGGTCTTGTCACAAGGTTTTGTAAAGTGTTGAAAAATGGAATTGACCCGATAAAATTGAAGAGCGATGATTTATTATGACTTTCGAAATGGTTTAACACAAAAACAGTGTGTTGACCGGATGATTTCTGCATTTGGTGATGAAGCCCCATCCAAAACCACAATTTATCGCTGGTTTGCTGAATTTCAACGTGGACGTGTCAAGCTCAGTGATGATCCTCGTCAAGGTCGTCCAAAAACTGCAGTCACCCAAGAAAACGTTGATGCTGTGCGTAAGCTGATTGAGGAAGATCGACATGTGACATACCGCGAAATTCAGGCAACTTTAGACATTGGCATGAGTCAAATACAAATAATCTTGCATGAACAATTAGGTGTAAAAAAGTGTTTTCCCGATGGATACCGCATTCGCTCTGTGAAGAGCAAAAAGCGGCTCGCGTTACTTGGTGCGTCAGAACTCTCGAAAGATTCCATGCAGGATCCTCAAATGCTGTATACAATATCGTATCAGGTGACGAATCCTGGATATACGCGTACGAACCCGAAACAAAAAACCAGTCACGAGTTTGGGTGTTCGAAAATGAGTTAAAGCCAACAAAAATTGTTCGTTCACGGAGTGTTGCAAAAAATAAATTGTGGCCACGTTCGTCTCCAAAACCGGCCGTGTTACGACTATTCCTCTTGAGGGACAAAGAACGGTTAATGCAGAATGGTATGCTAGCATTTGTTTGCCACAGGTCGTTTCTGAACTTCGTAAAGAGAACTGCAACCGCCGCATCATCCTCCATCACGACAATGCGAGTTCTCACACCGCACACAGAACAAGAGTTTTTAGAGCAAGAAAACATAGAATTATTAGACCATCCACCGTACAGCCCCGACCTAAGCCCTAATGATTTCTATACTTTCCCTAAAATAAAGAATAAATTGTGTAGACAGAGATTTTCATCACCTGAAGAAGCTGTGGACGCCTACAAAACGGCCATTTTGGAGATCCCAACTTCCGAATGGAATGGTTGCTTCAATGATAGGTTCCATCGTACGGAAAAATGTGTCAAATTTCACGGAGAATACTTCGAAAAGCAATAAATATATTTTTAAATAGTAATGTTGTGTCACTTCTTTGATTCCCGAAATTTTCAGTACCGCCCTCGTAAGCCTAGGTATCAAAAGGCGAAAGTGCAAGGTGATACTGTAAGAAACATAATACCTGTAACGATAGGGAAAAGAAAAACTAAAGTGCACCTCAAAAATGTGAAACACCCTCCACAGGTTGTTGGCGATCTTCGTGAACCTGAATCTGTTGATCCGGACCCAAGGCCTTCAACTTCTAAAGGTTGAGCATAATCCAGACATGTTACCTGGTTGGTGTAATTTTCATCGTCTGTGTGACGTTTGACAATAACGTGTAGTTTAGTCTCGTCGCTGTGAAATCTCTCAGGTAATGGATGTATATAATAGAAGCTTCCATTTACTTTAAACAATCCTCTCATATCTTCACAAGCATACAAGGCAGCACTATCACTTCTATAATAACATAGATCCAATTCTTCGTCAGCATGTTGATCGATAACAGCTTCTGTATTATTCGTCCATCTCCTCATAAGTAGGAACTTCTGATCTAGGAAAGTATTTCTAGGACTTAGTTTAATATCTAAATGCTTCTTGAGAGTTTAGATCCGGGTTATCGTGATATAGTGAGCGCTTACGGCGTTTCGGTTGTCTTAAATGAACTATATCAAATTTGGCATTCTCAGGATTAGCACCAATTAAGAACAGCTTTTCAGACTCCGTCAAATGATTTAGCAATTGATTGGAGTGCTCCTATAATAGAACAACTGTTATTTTCCCTAAATATCCTTACCTCATGGTGAAAGATCACACGTATTTACCCTTAAATGGCCCATGTTAGGAGATAGCAGCAAACCAGTTCCTGTCTAAGGAAATTGATATCGTGCAGTATCCTGAAAACACATGCATAGAACAACTCATGAACTTCGCATCAAATCTAAGCCTTTGTAAACTATCAATAGTAGAGCTGGAAAGTGTTAAGATATAGTCTATTGGTCCTATTAACTGGATCCTATTTACACGAAATGAAATAGTGCTTACAAAAACGTGTGGCGATTACACTCAAAGAAATGCTGTAAAGGGCACTTACCTCTTGGAAATCGATGAAAGCTGTGAAAAAAAAAATTAGGAAATATTAAATTACACCGGAAACGATACTATTCAGGAAAACTGCAATATAAGGCGACACCTATTTTAACTCTACCCAAATTGATAGAGCAGCCCACAAATGCGGAGAAAACAGTGAATTTAAATCGCGTTAATTTGGATGAACTAAAATATCTCTTGTACAAACTGAAAAGTGAAATAGTGGAAAGTGAAAGCTTAGTGAATAAGAAAAGTGTTAGTTTAGCTACTATACTACTCTATGCTATATTAGTTTTAATTAGTTTTATTGTTGTAATTTCGAAAAATAAGTCTAAGCTCTTACATTGTACGCAAAATCATCGGAATCCAAATTTTGCCGATAACTTTGCAGTTAAGGAGGGAAGAGTTGTGGTTACACCAGCACCACCATAATACGTATAAAGCGTCCATCAGCATAAATACATAAACGCTGAGTATGTAGTAATTTAAGTAGACTGTAAGCATAGGATTAAGAATTGTAAAAGACAATGGTCAGAATAAATTCACATCTCTCTCTGTGAAGCCGTAGTTTAAATTAGTTTTAAAAAAGCTCTCGGCAGATCCCGCAACTTGACTATCTCGAAAGGGTAGTGCGGCTAACAGCACCGCCCAGCAGCAGCAGGAATACGACTTTACTATCGGACACTGCAGCGGGAAATAACGTGGCAACACAAATGGAAATTGCTCTTCATACCTTAGTAAAAAAAACACATTTATTATTTGTAATTTTATATTATTAAAATAAAAATAATCATCATAAAAAAATTTATCAAATCATCTTCGCAGTTCACTGGGCGCCGTGGTTAAGGATAGACGACACCCTGATGACGTCATAAGTGATTAACGGGAAAAGCAGTGCAGTGCAACATTAACGATTCCTCAGAACTCATTCGCATTTTGGAAAGCGTCGATGATGATTCTTTTTATTTTAATAATATAAAATTACAAATAATAAATCTGTTTTTTTTACTAAGGTATGAAGAGCAATTTTTCATTTTGTGTTGTGCGATTTTCTTTCTTAATCTCAAAATCATCTGGTAGAGGGTAAGACTTTTCTTCTGTGTTTTACTTGGCCTAAGCCCCCCCAGACAAATAAAATATTTTGAATCTATCTCTGTATATTTTGGTTAGATTGATTTCGAAATCGATACACAACGTGCGACACAGTTACATCTCTAAGAAAATTTCAAAAAGGAAGGTCAGCTACGTCGTTGTCGTCCAGTCGTGACAGTGACGTCATCACGATGAAGAGTAGTGCTGTGGTTTACTACTATTTTATTGTTATTGTTTGTTCTTTATTTGTACAAAGTACATATATAAAAAGATAGGAAGACAGCACAAGATTGAATAAAACATACCAGATTATAAAGACTCATTTATTGCATTAAAAAAACAATAAATATTAATAAATATTAAAAACCAACAAAATAAATAAATATTAAAAAACCAAGAAAATAAAGTGATTTTGTCGGTTTTTTAATATTTATTTATTTATTTATAATACGTTTTTGGCGTGGCGCTCAAAAGGTTAATAATTATTTTAAAAAAAATCATTACAAATTTACAATCAAATCATGTCACTTTTATTTATTGTAATAAGTGGACAGGAGGAACTTTTGTGGAAGGGGCGTTACCAGGGAACGTGTACATGTACAGCCTCAGGGCATGCATTATTCGTCCAAAAAAGGTATTCGGATTTTCCGAATAACCGAATAAAAAATATCCGAATACTTCGAATAATACGAATTTTACGAATAGTGCTTAAATTTATGAAAAGAAACATTATTATTACTTAAACATTTTAATTAGGAACCTTTTTAATCATCCACACTTACTTAAAAATACAAAAAATTACTTTCTTGTGTTCATAAAGTATGACCGCAGGAAACTGAGGGCGTCTAACGTATCGTCATTGAATGAACATCTCAAATGATTGCAAAAATATCTATTAGCCGAAAATACACGTTCTGCTTCAACGCTTGTAGGTGGGATGGTAACGTGATGAATGATCACCCACAATCACAACCACGCATGTTTTTCACGTAACTTAGTAGGTTTACGTTCGGATATTTTAAACAAATCAAAATAAGATAGTATTCGAAATATTCGTAAAAACCGAATAATTATAAATATACTATTCGAATAATAAACGAGGCGAATATCCGAATAATTTGGATATCCGGATATCCGAATTGCATGCCATTGCATGCCTATGCCTGGCTGTAACAGCCTTAAGAAAATTGTTCTTCCGCCGAGATCGGAAACGATTGTGCCGGTTAGTCTTCCTCGGAACCCTGGGCAAACTTACCGTTGTGTACTCGTGGAAAGGGTAAACAATGACCTTCCATGGAAAGTAGCTCGAACCTTGGTCAGAACCACTGACATCTCAGTAGTACGTGTGCTGAACCTTTGTGACCAGGAACAGACTATAGAAAAAGGCACACTGGTTGATAATCATGAGGAAGTGGATTGGTTGCGTCGGTGCCAATATCTATCGAGTGGGACCCCCAGCAAGGATGCACATACAAGAGTGACCACACTTTTAGAAGACTGTCACAGCGTTCTCTCCCCGAATGAAATGGTCAAGGCGAAGAAGTTGTTATTCAAATACGCCGATGTATTCTCGTCAAACGATGCTGACATAGGGAAGACTGGCTTAATTTAACACAAAATAAACAGGAGAAGAATTGCCTATCCGTCAGCGCCCAAGAAGATTGCCGGTAGCACGTGAAAAGGAAGTGGAAACCATGACTGAGGGAATGGTGAAGGATGGTGTTATTGAACCTTCATCTAGTCCATGGTGTTCACCCGTGGTGCTGGTAAAGAAGAAGGACGGCAGCATGCGGTTCTGTGTTGACTACCGCCGTTTGAACGACGTTACAAAGAAGGACAGCTATCCCTTGCCAAGAATTGATGACACGCTGGACATGCTTACAGGAGTAAAGTGGTTTAGCACGCTGGATTTAAAAAGTGGCTACTGGCAAGTTAAAATTGACCCTAAGGATAAGGAGAAAACTACTTTCTCGAGGGAAAGGGTGTGGCAAAGTAATGGCGGAGGGGTTAGGAGGTTTGGGAGGAGGAGTTTTTATAATAATACAAAACAATATTATAAACTTGAAACAATGCTATGTCATCTTTGAATGAATGTGCCATAAGTATAATATAAACATGTAGCAATTTTATCAGGGCTTAATAATGCCTCAATTCGGCTTTTGAATCCTGTATAAGTCAGATACATCTCAGACTAAATACTAGTATACAGGAAATCCTAAAATAGGAACAAAATTCTTGCCATTGAACTCTTTACGTGTTATGTTATTACGTTTTACGTACTTGGTAGGCCGTACGTTTGAGGAACACCTTCAAAACTTGGAAGGCGTGCTCATTTAGATTCAGAGTGCCAACCTCAAGTTGAGTCCGAAGAAATGTTCACTATTCAAACGGCAAGTCAACTTTTTGGGGTATGTAGTGTCAGAAGAAGGTATCCGCATGGATCCGAAGAAAATCGCCGCTGTCAAGGATTGGCCGGTTCCAAAAACAAAAGACGCAGGTTAGAGCATTTTACACCTGGTCGATCGGGGGCCGGTATTTGCTGGAATATTCTGGATGTATCGGTGACAAAGGCGTATATAAAGGCGTTGAAGCCCGCCACCGGGGCAGTATTGAATTGGCGACACGAGCGAAGCTTTCGGAGTGAAATAAAGTGAACTAAAGTGTTAAGTGTGAATAATTATTAGTGTGATTTAAGTTTTAATTGATGTTCAGTAATTAAAGTGTCAATTGTCAAATGGTAATTCAATCGGCAGTTTTTATTGTCACGAACCCTAAGCTCGTAACAATATTCTTATATAGTACGCGGTCTATTCAACGAACGACATGTAATGTAAAGTGCTACGAAAATTAGCGTGCAGCAAAACTTTACGCGTTTGCCGGCCGCGGCTTACCTCGCACTACACGCTTTCTTATAAATAGCGCGCTATAATATAGCGCATTTAATAGCGCGCTAGAAATTTATAATTTACAGTCTGTAGCGTGCTGTTGATTTATAGCCGTTTTTAATAACTTTAAGTCCAGTATAAATAAACAGGCTGTCAGGCAACTAAGTCCTCAGAGGTGACAACGTATCTATACCCTTTATTGTTTGAAGTAGGCTACAGGTTCCATCGGCTGCGGTAGCCACTTATCAGGTTGACTGTGAGTTCGTTTCTCACTTCAGTGTTATAAAAAATACTATTAAAATAATCATAATTATTGTTTCACATAAGAGATTTCATATAATCTGTAACATTATTTAATAGTTGTTTTAATTCTTTTAGTAGCGGTTTCGTTTCCGGCCAGTCTTGTTTCTCCGCCGCTCTTATAACCCCCTGTCCTGTCAAGCGAGCAGATGATAACACCTGATCAGCTTGTTGCTTGTCATTTTCTTCTGCCTCTTTTCTTGCTTTTAAGCTGTATTCTAAAAAAACTTGAGCAAGTTCTATAACTTTTTTACAAGTTTCGGGATCGTTTGACCAATTACCACTCTGTAAATAAATATTTAATAAAATTACATATATAGATGTATATAAATATGATAATGTTTACGGACGTAAAACAACTTACTTGTGTGTACCCCTTATATGCTTTTAAAAGGCGCTGTGCTTTTAGCAAATAAGTCGTACTAAGGTCGGAGTACAACTGCCATATTTCTGGTTTATTCTGATGTATAGAAGTAATTCTACCAAAAAGTTCCAGTACGCGTTTACGTAACCTGAAAATTATATAATGAATTAAATGCAAATAACGAAAATGGTACAGCGCGAACGATCGAAAAACCTTTATTTTTGTCTTTTTTCGATCGACAATATCCAATCTCTACTGGTGAATGGAAATCGCCGTTCCAAACGTTTGGCAATTTTGGCGACCACCTTTACGACCACCGCGAGACGTAAAGGAGTAATGACTTTTATGCCACCACATACATCTATGTTGTTTTAAGAATAGTAGAAATACTAGCTGTGCCCCGCGGTTTCACCCGCATATATCACACGCCTGAGCCGCGCGACATGACATGACAAATCGCTCATTTAGTTCAATTATTTTATTATGATTTCTTATATTTACGCGAACACTACACATTGATTAAAACTACTTTTACGGATTTTATCGAGTTTAATTTTTACTTATCTTTAATTTCCGAAGTTTCGGGTGCTTTCCAGCACCCATGGTCAGTCTCCCGTGACTTACCGTGACATACGTGTGGCAGATTAAAGAAAAGTGTAGATCTCCCGCCGGGCAAGGTGTTCTGCCCTGGGAGCGGCTAACGCTCCGTGTGATAGTTCGGAGCTATTTTAATACATGGTAGAGCCATGCTGCAGTTACATTAGAAGTAAAGGTTGTAGCACGAATGTGTCGGCTCGACCGGGGAAGAACCACGCTCTCACAGAATACCAGCGTAAAATGGTAGCTTAATGCTGCTGTGTTTCGTATGATGAGTGTAGAGAACCGGAGACCCTTTTTACTGAAAACCAGGCATTCCATCTTAGTCCTCACGGGTCAACACATCTGCATTTTGATTCGTAATCGAGGATAGATGTAGATGTCTATAGGCCACAGCAACCGCTTACCATCAGGTGGACTGTGTGCTCGTTTGTCACCCTATACCATAAAAAAAATATTCTGTACATAGTATTTTTGATTCGGAACTTTGATAGCGCGATTTAGACTTCGATGTGTTTCGCTTGTGGCGCGACGAATACGTTTAGTGACATAAAACAATGAGAGCAGATAATCTTACACTCACAAGATGTCGCTAGTTGGTACTAAGGTAAAGTTATGTGATACACAACATCATTATTAATCCAGAAGTTGTGTCTTAAATAAAAGTTTATTCGGTTTCCAGTGTAAATTCCTCAGTGGTTTGCTCTTTAATTTAACTACTTACGAAGAATAAAAACGCAGATGCGTTGTTACCCCAGAGGACTACGATGGAATGCCTCGTTTCCAGTAAAAAAGGGTCTACGGATCTCTACACTCACCATACGAAACACAGGAGTATTAAGCCCCTATTTCATGCTGGTATTCTGTAAGTCCTTTTCCGTTCGAGCCGATCCATTAGTGCTACAACCATAATATAGCTGCAGCGTAGCTCTACCACGTATAAACCCAATTTTAAGACGACGATAAGTCTCGTGGTATGACGTGGATGAGACAGCACGAGATGTAACGTTATCTTAAAATAAGTTGATTAAAAATACTTTTTTACGGATTTTATCGTGTTTAATTTTAAATTTAATTCCCGACGTTTCGTAACATATAGCTGATGTGAAGCATCAACGTTCCAGGAAGTCTGCAGTTTGTGATCATATCCTAGACGTCCAAACCATTACATCAGATTTGATAGACCACAAATCCTCGCGAAAAAACACCGATTCCTACCAAGGATGATACGTGAGGCTATTGAAATTAAAAAACATCCTAATTTCAATAGAGAAAGAGGCTGGGTACTACCACCTGCTTGGGATCCTATAATCAATAAAATTAAAACTAAACCTACGCATACCACCGCAAGACCTCAAGACATAGTCAGTTCATTTTGCATAGATCGGACCATAAACAATAATTAAAAAGCTGAAGGTATTTCGGGTTTAACAATGACATCGGGACGTCAGTCACCTCAGTCCCCCGTGACCATGGGTGCTGGAAAGCACCCGAAACGTCGGGAATTAAAAATAAAAATAATTAAAATTAAATGCGATAAAATCTGTAAAAGTAGTTTTAATCAATGTGTAGTGTTCGCATAAATATAAGAAATCATTATTAAAAAAAAGTTTGAGAAAAAAAACATAAATAAATGAGCACTAACAACTCTAATATCGGATTCCAGTGGCTCGTGTAATATGAAATTTAATTGAGCGCCCGCCCTGTCTCTAAGCTATCATAGCCTAACATAAATCATACTACAACGAACAACCATTTGAATGGCCTACAAATAATTGAGCCGAGTCTGGATGTTTGGTCTTGTGTTAATCTAAACCACCTCCACTATACAAGATAAAAACATACTGTGAGATGGGGAAAACCTTTTTTTAAAACAACACAGTTACCTGGCAGCACTGTTGCCGTCCGCATCTTTACTGTCTTGAATAATACCGCGCACAAGCAATGACAACACCTCCACATCCTCAAACTTCCGCTGTAGATCGAGAATACGGTGGATACCGCGAAGCACGTCCTCGAAGTGACCTGTATCCATGCTGACGACAATGATGTTCTCCCAGAGCTGAAATAATAAAATCGAGATTTAATTTGAGCTTGTTTATGTTTTTGACGTTTCGGAAATGTTGTTATTATTTTTATAATTAGTAACTGTTCCAAAAATTAATAATTTTTGATGCCGTGGTCAACAATGACATGTGGCCATCAAGCACCGCAGTTCAACTGTAACCATGGATGCTGTCCGTGAAAACTAGTTTCATTCAAAGAGTAGTGTTCGAATTAACATAAGAAATAATTATTACTCGTAATGTTACAATTTATCCTTGAAGTGTTTTTATACTTAAAGGTAATGAAAGTCATCACCATCAGCCCTTCACAAGTTCACTGATGACCATAGGCCTTCCCCAAAGAATACCACAAAGCACGGTCCTGAGCCACCTGCATCCATCGACTTCCTGCATGTCTTACTAGGTCGTCACTCCATCTAGTGCGGGGCCGATCCGCGCTTCGCTTACCGGTACGAGGCTGCCACTCGAAAACCTTGCGTCCCCATCGGTTTTCGGTTCTTCGAGCTATATGGCCAGCCCAATGCCACTTCAGCCTATTAATCCGTTGGGCAGCGTCGGTTAGTCTGGTTCTACTGCGGATATCTTTATTTCTAAATTTATCACGCAGAGAAACCCCGAACACAGTCCTTTCCATAGCTCGCTGAACGACTTAATATAAACTCACCTTCCAATTATCATAATTAAAGCGAAGTGCTTCCATCAGAGCCCTGTACGCCCGATTTTTATCGCCCTGCTTTACGTACACCTTAGCCAGATTGTTCCAGGCTTCAAATGTGTTGGGATGGAGATATGTGTATCGGCGATATGCTTTAGCTGACAACTCCCAGTTTTCAATCATCAAGGCAGCGTATCTGGAAATAAAGAAAAGTAGGTTATTATAAAATGTTTTGGCATTCACGTTAGCCTTCTGGCGTATATGAAGTAACGCTGGCAGTGACATCTAGTAAATACCAGAATAAAGTAATATCAGAATAAATCTTCCCACGTCTGTTCAATAGGCTTTTATGCTGAGATATCATCTTTTACCTTTGGTGGAGCCACGTGTTTAAGGCTGCCGAAAATCTAGTTCCCCGGTCAAACCTCAAACCTATTACGCGAGATATTAACTAAAGTGGACTGTATTTGCGATTGCTTCTACGCTTACGTAAAAGCGACTACTATAGCATGCGGTACAATGCACTCGCTCTTCCCTAAACTAAAACTATTACTTGCCAAATCGATGAAAGGAATCCTGCCTGATGAGGAGAACACAGAATTGGAGCGGGTTAAAACAATTATTAAATATTAATCAGGCAGTAAATTAAGGAATATTGACTCACCGGGGTTCTTCTATCCTTTAGAGCACTATAGCGACTTCTGGAACACTCCGGAGAGAGGCGGTGCGCGACGATATCTCACACGAGGTGAGGCGGGTTCCTGGAGCTCGACTGCTTCCAGGCCAAAGCGGTTTCCACTAGTGAGGTGTTTCCAAACGAGCGCGCGGGAAGAGAGAAGAGCGCGCGTCGGTCGCGCGTGTCTTATATATCCTCGGGTCCGATGATTACGCGATGTTCTAGAATCGTCTTCTTTCCCCTCCCACCCCATCACCCCGATGTGTCGATAGGAGGGTACGAATGATATCGTTTTGGAAAGGAATAATGATTCAGCAAGTTCCTACCGTCAAAATAAAAAACGCGAATGGTTTTCCGCGCAACCATCTCCCCCGCCCTTGAAGGATTTCCTTCAAAAAAATAACTAAACAACTAGAGCTAAGATCAACTAACAAATAACTAACTAACGCTAAGATTACCTAAATTCAACTACAATTTTAATCTAGAAATCTAATTTAAATTATGGAAGAGGCAAGGGGCACAAACGGACAACAGGACGTAGGTAAGACCCAACCGTGGTCTTAACGCGAGCTATCCTAATTACTCCGTCGGAACCGGGAAAGACCTCCTCGACGATTCCTAACGGCCAGTGGAGAGGCGGCGTATTCTCCTTAGTGAGCACAACTACAGTTCCTACCGCTAAAGGCTCTGTCGCTGTGTTCCATTTTTGCCGAGACTGCAAAGTATGCAAGTATTCCATCCTCCATCGTTTCCAAAACGATTGCACTAACCGATCTAATAATTTGTGGCGTGCGGAAATGCTAAGTCTGTTCTCATCCATATCCGCGGCGGGCAGATACCTTAGAGGCGTTAAATTCAAAAAATGTGCTGGAGTTAGAGCCAGCGGTTCCGAGGGGTCACTAGATAACGTCCGACAAAGTGGGCGGCTATTCATTACGCATTCAATTTGAGCGAGCACCGTACTTAGCTCTTCGAAGGACAAAATTTGATCTCCTATTACTCGGTATAAGTGGCTCTTTAGACTTTTAATATTAGTCTCCCAATTGCCCCCAAAATGACTCGCGGCTGGGACGTTCAGAGACCACTCAATGCGGTTCTCGGCTAGAATGTGAGCGAACTCCGAATTATAATACTTGCTAGCTAAGAGCTCATGTAGTTCCGATAGAATACGTTTTGCACCGACGTAGTTCGTACCGTTATCCGAATATAATTTACTTACAGGGCCTCTGCGGGATAGAAATCTTTTAAATGCACCCATAAAGCCTGCTGTGCTTAGATCACCCACGAGTTCTATATGCACTGCTCGAGTAGTTAGACATACGAAAATGCAGACGTAAGCCTTTGTGGATCTTATACCACGCCCGCGAGTGAGCGTGACCTTAAACGGACCAGCAAAATCAGACCCGGTGTGCGTGAAGGGCTTTACTGATTGTATCACTCTGCAAGATCTAAGTTCCGCCATTTCCGGAAATGACGGCTTGGGGCGTGCCCGAAAGCAAGCTATACATCTGTGCACCCGATTGCGTATTAAACTACGACATCAATAAATCGGGGCCAGCGTGCGAGTTCAATTTATGATGATAATCGACTAATAAGTTCATGATATGGTCTTTACGCGGTAAAACTATAGGGTGCCGTTGGTCGAAACTCAATTGCGAGTTGGACAAGCGTCCACCTACCCTTACAATCCCATCCTGTAAAAATGGCTTAAGGCGTTGAAAGGCGCGACTACAAGCTCTATTCGATTGTAATCTTGTAATTTCTTCGGAGAAGTGCGCACGTTGAAGTTCACGTAATACTAGCGACTCGGCATAGTTGTAATCGGATGCTAAGATATACGAACGTCGCGGTAAAAGCTTCGCGAATCGACAAACGTAAATTACGCTACGCAATAATTTCGACCAAGAGGACAAGCGGTTCGCCAGAGCAATGATTGGAGAAACCTCGCTCGAAACGTTCGCCACTAGAGCGTGTCTCTTCTCTTCCGGCGGTTGTGACACTGACGAAGGTTCGAAATCGGTTATTGGCCATTGTGAGGGATCCAAGTGAACCCAAGAAGGTCCATGGAACCAAAGCGGGTGGTCCATTATTTGCATCGGGGTGAGTCCCCGGGATAGACAATCGGCAGGGTTTTCCTTACCGGACACGTGATAGAAGTTCCGCGTTTCTAACTCGTCTTGGATCTTGGCCACTCGGTTCGCGACAAACGTATCCCAACGGTGGGGTGAAGAATGAACCCAACATAAGGCGACGGTGGAGTCGGAAAAGGCAAATATCCTTTCTATGTGAGCTCTATCCCTACATGCGCCGATAACTGTGGTAATAAGCTTGGTGAGTACTAATATTGCGCAAAGCTCTAAGCGCGCCAGAGAGACAACCTTACGGGGGGGAGACTCTCGACTTAGAACTAATGAGGCTAATCGAATTTCTACCATTATTCTGGACATGGAAATATACAACGCCCCCGTAAGCCTTCTCGCTGGCGTCTGCAAATCCAACGACCGTTATGCTGCTATTTCTATCGACATTTATATGACGCGGTATTTTAATTTCTCTTAGTAAAGGAAGTTCCTCTCTAAAGCGCTGCCACAATCGAACAATGCTGTCAGGCGGCGAGTCATCCCAATCGCATTCAAATAACCAAAGTTGTTTAATCAAAAGCTTAGCGTACAATACCACCGGAGCTACGAAACCCATGACGTCCCATAATCTAGCAACGCATGACAGTATTGTGCGCTTTGTGCATTTCTCTACGGGCGGATTCACCTTAAGGCTAAACACGTCGGACTCTGGTGACCAACACAGACCGAGCACCTTGTGTGTATCGGAATCGTCGAATTCCTTTATCGCCGAAAGACGGTGTGATAGTGGGATTGTATCTAAAACCGTACGCGAATTACTAGTCCACTTCACAAGATCGAATTGACCCGATTTCATGAGCCTTATAACCTCGGCGGTGGTTAGGGTGGCCTCCTCCACGCTATCGACCGAATACACAAAATCATCCATATATAATCCGCTCTCAATTGCCCTCTTAGCTTTAGGATAAGAGGGACCTTCATCGTGAGCGAGCTGTCTCACCGTGCGTAACGCATGAAATGGGCTCGACTTTAAACCAAAACAAACGCGGTTAAATTCAAACACCATTAGAGGTTCCTTTGGGTTGAAACGATATAAAATGCGTTGGAATCTACGGTCGCATTCACGGACCCCTATGCAAAGAAACATTTGGCGAATATCGGCGGATAGTGCTATACTAAACAAACGAAAATTGACTATTATATTAAATAAACTGCCCTGTAAATTTTGCCCACTATAGAGGATATCGTTAAGCGACAGGTGAGTGCTAGTTTTAGCACTAGCGTCGAGCACTACACGTAATTTAGATGTAAGTTTGTCCTCTCTAATGACTCCGTGGTGTGGTATAAAATACGACGGTGTGTCTTCGTAGTTATCTAATTTCGAAGCCACAAGCGATATGTAACCTTCTCTTATATATTCGTTAATGACGCCGTCGTAAGCTTCCTTTAACTGGGGCGAAGCGAGCATCCTACGCTCCAAGCTGTAGAAACGCTTTTCTGCCATTTGACGCGAATCGCCGAGAGATAAAACATCTCCTTTAAAGGGTAGCGCTACACTATATCTACCGTCGCGATCACGAACGGTCGTGCGGACGTAAATTTCCTCGCATAACCTGTCATCTGAACTAGCTATGGGTGGGACGTTCACCTCCTCCATCTCCCAAAATTTGCGGACTAACGACTCGAGCGGTTCGACAGCCATACCACAATAAGAGGTTGCCGAAATACTATCTAGGATGGGGGCGGAGCCAAGGATCACATAGCCCAATACGGTTTCCAGTGCGTAAGGCGCGGTATGCGAGGAGTTGCCCCTGACCTTATTGTTTAACAAAAGATAAGGGAAAAGCGATGCCCCAATGAGCATGTCTATGTTTCCAGGAACGGCGTAGGTGTCGTCTGCTAGAGTCAAATTTTTAAATTCAATCATTGCCGAGGTGTCAACCGAAACGGTTGGCAACCGTTCAGTGACCCTATCTACTACTAGTGCATTTATATCAAAGTTAACATTACGATCTATCCGAGAATAAAATTTTAAATTTATATATCCCTGTGTCGCTTTACTAGTACCTCCGATGCCTTTAACTACAGGACATGAAAGTGACCTATTTATTACTAAACCTAAGCGCTGACAACATTGTCGTGTTATAAAGCTATTTTGGGCTCCGCTGTCCAGCAGTGCACGGACGCTTTGTTCGTTTCCACGCGAATCCCTAACCAAAATACGCGCCGTACCCAGTAACACGGTTGAAGGAGGTTGTGCTCCCATATTTGCCAATGAGCACAGAGCGACATCACCAGGTCGACCGCTAGAATCGTTGACCTTAGTAGGGGTGAATTCCTTATCCGCCTTACTTGACGCCGCTATGTTGCTATTTTCAAAATGTAATAGCGTGTGATGTTTCCTGGCGCACTTGCTACATACGGAACTCGAATTGCATTTTGCAACTAAATGCTTATCGCTTAAGCAGTTCAAACATAGGTTGTTTGTCTTTACTAACTTATAACGTTCGCTTGGTGAATATTTACGAAAAGTCGCACAATTATATAAATTACCGTGTTTATCTTTACATACTATACAAGTATGCTGGAGTGATGTCGGCGTAGCGGTTACGTAAGTTAACGACCCTGCTATTTTAGATGGTTGAGTCTGTCTACGGTCGACGCACCTTTTAATCTCCTGTTTAACGTTCGGAGAGCGCTGCATCACCTTTATTTGATCTCGCACGAACGATGCTAATGAATGAAAGGAAGGCATCTCCGAGCTACGATGCTCCATTTTAAACGCACGCACGGTGTCGGAGTCTAATTTCTTTAATGCTATATGGAGAAACACCACGTCCATAAGGTCATTAAACTTCAAATTCTTAAGTGCAGCCACCGATGCCACAAATTTATCTAGAAACTGCTCTAAGCCGTTGATGTTCGCGGATGATATAGGTTTAAGATCGAATATCTGGTTCAAATATTCGGAAGCTAACATTCTCCTATCTTCATATTTAGTTTTAAGCGTTTCAAATATTAATAAGTAATTGTTTGCTGTAGGTGTAAAACCCGAGCAGATCGACTGTGCTCTGCCACTAAGTTTACTAATTAAGTAATATAATTTTTCAGCGTCCGATAACGATGGGTTGTTGTGTATATTGTTTTGAAAACTACTGAAGAAGAAGGGCCACGTCTTAATATCACCATTGAATACCGGAATATCTATTGGCGGTAACCTAATTGAGTCACGAGGGCGTACCTGTATTTCCGGCTTTGCTTCGCTTTGAGATTGTAGGAGTTTTGCAGTTCTTTTTACGCGACACAACATATCTTCGAATGCCAGCAGCGGTTGGTAGTTCACTATGTATTTCGGGTCGATTTGTAATTCCAAATGATTAATTTGGTCTAATATTCTTTCGTAATCTATCCGCAAAGTATCTATCGTTTCGATTTCATTCAAAAAGGCTTCCCGCACTGCCTCTATATTAATGTTCTTTATATAATCACTTATATTCTGCACACGCGAAAAGAGTATGTCCCTCTTGGCATAAAGCGTTTTAATTTTGATTTCACTTCCACTAACTGCCATTTTAAATTATTATAATAAAGTTATATTAATCACAATTAATCTCACACGCATGAACGACGTAGGATGAATACTCGGCGTGCCGTATTACGTAATAAGATCGAACACCCGTTGCGGTCGAGTCTACGCGTCGTTTGCTAAACCTAATAATTTTATCAAAATTGTGGGGAAAGCGTATCAAACGGTTGCTATCACACCGTTTCAATTATTTAATAAGCTTTAAATTTAACCAAATACGAGCGCTATTAAATGAATAATTCTGTTTGCGAGTACCAAATCAAATTTTTAATTTAAACGAACACTATTTAAGTCTATTCCATAAATTAGAGTGCGTTATCTAAACAATTAATTTAATAATTCTACCAGAAAATGGTTGGATAACCACTAAACACCAATCCAGATCCTGCCGAAGTGACCATAAAATGGTGGAGCCACGTGTTTAAGGCTGCCGAAAATCTAGTTCCCCGGTCAAACCTCAAACCTATTACGCGAGATATTAACTAAAGTGGACTGTATTTGCGATTGCTTCTACGCTTACGTAAAAGCGACTACTATAGCATGCGGTACAATGCTCTCGCTCTTCCCTAAACTAAAACTATTACTTGCCAAATCGATGAAAGGAATCCTGCCTGATGAGGAGAACACAGAATTGGAGCGGGTTAAAACAATTATTAAATATTAATCAGGCAGTAAATTAAGGAATGTTGACTCACCGGGGTTCTTCTATCCTTTCGATCACTATAGCGACTTCTGGAACACTCCGGAGAGAGGCGGTGCGCGACGATATCTCACACGAGGTGAGGCGGGTTCCTGGAGCTCGACTGCTTCCAGGCCAAAGCGGTTTCCACTAGTGAGGTGTTTCCAAACGAGCGCGCGGGAAGAGAGAAGAGCGCGCGTCGGTCGCGCGTGTCTTATATATCCTCGGGTCCGATGATTACGCGATGTTCTAGAATCGTCTTCTTTCCCCTCCCACCCCATCACCCCGATGTGTCCATAGGAGGGTACGAATGATATCGTTTTGGAAAGGAATAATGATTCAGCAAGTTCCTACCATCAAAATAAAAAACGCGAATGGTTTTCCGCGCAACCAACCATCATGTGGTATTGTAGTCAAGCAATAGCTTATGTATAAAAAATAAGTGATAGTACGCTAATGATCAAGAGTGCGGATTGCAAACTCGAAAAGTTGTAGTTGTTTGTAGATTTATTTTTCATTGTAAGTGTATAATTAAGTCTAGTTCAGAAATGGCCAAATAAATATCTCTTACTTTCTTTCTTTCTTTCAAATACAAAGACTCACCCTAATCTCGCCCAGACGCTCTCCTGTAGGGAATTAATCTCAACGGATTTTTCGTAATGCGGTATGCATTCTTCGTAACGTTTATGGTCGAACAGGAAGTTACCCCAGTGTCTTTGAGCGCGACTGCTTTTCTGATCTGAGAAATCCCACGCTTTTTCATACCACGATACGTCATCTGTGGAATAAAAAAATAATAAGTAAATCATTTGTTATATTTTTATAATAATATTCTCATGGCTGAATTTCAGTCAGTCTCAACGGAGACTAGCCATCTGCGTAGGACAGAATTATAATGCTGGAGTGCGAGCAAGAACATATGCTCTCTCTATTTCAGTCAGTCTCAACGGAGACTAGCCATCTGCGTAGGACAGGATTATAATGCTAGAGTGCGAGCAAGAACATATGCTCTCTCTATTTCAGTCAGTCTCAACGGAGACTAGCCATCTGCGTAGGACAGGATTATAATGCTAGAGTGCGAGCAAGAACATATGCTCTCTCTATTTCCTCACTCTCTTAGTTCCATGGGACGGCAATGCGACTCAGACAACAGTGGAACAGGCGGCCAACGTCTTTAAGTGATGTTTTTAGGCACGGGGATGAAATAACGCCAACCTCTTGACCGGGCTGCAACTGAGCATTTCTTGACAGAAAAACCCAAAAACTAATTTTGGCAACACCCGGGATTCGAATACGACCAAATGCCAGAAAAATCTTACTGCTTCTGATAAATGACAGTATAGCCGTCTCGTTTACGCCAGACATAAAATATCCGTCGACAGGGAGCAGGCGTCAAAGGTACGAGACGTATAGTAAAAATACCATTCACATTTTTTAATTCGGTTAAAAATAAGTCAGGGCTTAAATTTCTCTAAACACTGTCTTAGCACCAACTTCATAAACTATTATATGAAAATTATTTTTAGTTCTATAGAGTCAGCATATACTTTTTAATAAAAGTTTGAAGTATATTCAAAAATATATAATTATATGAAAAAAGAACATTATTTTCAATTATGAAGCACTAAGTTTTTTCTAAAATCATTGATCATGAAAAAAATAATCAATGTTATAATCTGAATAAAAATAATGTTTTGGTTGGTTAAAAATACCTGTTGCGTCTCCAAGAAGACAATATAATTTGACAGTGGGTTTTACATCTATTTGCTGTTGTATGATCTCCGCCGCCTGCAATTAGATAAAAATATTCAACGTGCTTAATATTTCATTTGCAAAGCAAGTATCATTATAACCTGAATGTATCAGTCAACACTGAGGTAGATAAGTCTTTATAGTACGTACGGATAAATAATGGGATTAGAAATGGCGACTCATCGAGCCCGTACCGTCAAAATGCGATGCCCGTCGAAATGCACCAATAGCGAAAACCAGATAATAACATTATATCGTTATAACATTATATTATTCGGTTAGTTGCAAATTTTCTAATTTGAAAATAATTGTAACCCAAGTAGGTATACTATTTTTAAAATAATATTCGTATTATTTTTATTAAATTCATTAGTTTTATTACAATCGGTTCATCCATTCCAAAGATCAGCTCAGACAGACAGAAATACATTTACTTACATTACATTAGTTACTCATCTCAATGGTATGTAAATATTTTATACAAAAATATTAATATACAAAATCAACAATAATTATGAAGAAAACTCTCAGATCGCGTCGTAGCTCACAAATTAGCAAAAACCGGACTGAATTTTTATAAAAGTTATAGAACGTTCAGAAAAACGCAAATCGAAACGTATTTCTTTTTGCAGTCTTTAGCAACGGGTGTGATTATAGATAAAGACAGTGTGCGAGCAAGAGGTGAATAGACAGCGGCATTTTCAATCCCATTCTTTAACCGCACGGTTAGTACCTATGAAATTGCTGTTCTGCAGTGCTGGCCATTGTAAATCAAAATAATTTTTCTTTGGCTATGTATTCTACTTTCAAGTTAACTTTATTTTAAAAACATGGAACTCTTTTTTCATCAACAGTAAATGTGTAATGTATTTTGCTAAGTTCAAAGCCATGCAGATATCAAACCTTGTGACGTAGCTGCAACAGAGTATAGCAGACAATCACTTCCTCCCACAATTGCAATCGCTGGTATTCCTCGAGGGCCGCCTTCACCAGCCCCATGCTGAGGTATAAGTCGCCCAATTGCTGTCGCCATGTCCATGCAGCTGGGAGACCACTAGCCCAAAGGTATGATAGCCTGGTTCAAATGTATATTATTACATCATACTGTTAGTTTGGAGGAATCGAAACCACGAAGGGTGGATAAGAGAGACACAAGTTAATTGTTTAGTGCTCTATTTCCAACTGCTTCGTACAGACGCAGCCATACATTATCTTTTCTTAATTTACCCTCTTTTGTACTAACACATACCTATTGATGTTTTTAATGAAATTAAAATGAAAAAAACATTAGATTAATAAAAAAAAATACTACTATTATTTAAGCTTTATTTGACGTGCCTCTACGTGGTAGAGCCACACTGCAGCTAAATTACGAGTATGGTTGTAGCACGAATGGGTCGGCTCGACCGGGGAAGGAACACGCTCTCACAGAATACCTGCGTAAAATAGCAGCTTAATGACGCTGTGTTTTGTATGGTGAGTGTAGAGAACCGGAGACCCGTTTTACTGGAATCGAGGCATTCCATGTTATTCCTCAAGGGTGTCAACGCATCTGCATTTTGATTCTTAATGGAGGTAAAATGTAGATGTCTATGGGCCACAGCATCCACATACCATCAGGTGGACTGGACAGCCACCCTTATTCTATAAAAAAATTGAACCACAAATTTTATTATTTACATTTCAAATGTGTGTTAATCTATTAGAATATAAAATTAGGCTTTAGTAAGATTACTATTCAAGTTTTTGTATGTTTCCCAAATTGAGGAAAGCCTTCTCCATCTCTTTCCGTCTTTATTTGCAGTGAGCCCTATCCAGTTTTTCCCGCAAATTTTTAAAGCACTGGACGGCAAAGGATAGTAAAAAATTTTTATGTAATATATTTTCCTTTGCTGTTCTGTGTTTCTTTTACCCATAGGACCTGACCATTTTGTCATTTGTAAGGTCCATCTTAGTATCTGGATATGTACTTTTATATCAGCCCATACAAAGTACATTGCTAAACATCAGCCTCTCTCACTGTTATATACGGATTTACCCTAATCGCCATTTATGGTTAATGGATCGGCGATTGCAGATGAGATGTACCTTTGCTGCTACTGCTTGGTAAACGAGATGGTATACCGCCATCTTCTTAAAGGCATCTAATCCATCACCCCATTTTGTCGTCTGTGTGTCGTATGAAGCTTCTATGGGAAATAATAAAACAGTTAAAAATAAGAATTAATTACTTTACAATGAGTAAAAAATATTTGAGTCATATGACCTCATTTTTCATATAAAATTAGAGTAGCAAACAAGCTAACAGGCCACTACGCGTAAGTGAAGTACTTGAAGAGTTTAGAGAGCCAGTATAATCACAGGCGGTGTGGCATAAGTCTTAGTCTTCAGAGGTGACAATGCACTTACTTATAGCCTTTATTATTTGAACTTGGTTGCATGTAGCCATGGGCTGCAGCACCCACTTACCGTCAAGGTGCCCGTTGGTTCATTTGCTACATCAATTTAAAGTCAAAATGTGCTTTAGTACTTAATTCTTCAATTACGAGACGTAATTAACGTATACTGGATGACCTTCTTTACCGTCTGCAAATAAATAGGGAGTGATCCTGTGAAACATGTGATCGCAGTAGAAGCCCATGACACCGATATTTAACAGAAAATAAAAACAAAAATTTTGAATTAAATAAACAAATTAATTAAAATCTATCGAAATTCAGATCATATCCACCCTAGTCTGTGACCCTGCGAAGTTACAACGTCAAAGATGCCTACTAAATTTAATGTTTTATTGAGGTTCGCAAAGTAGGGTTACTCATCACCCACCTCAGTTGCTGAAATAAGCTAAGAGGATCAATCATTCTTTATGCCACTGTCATCCAAGCAATAATTGTAAAGATATTACGCACCTGCTCGTACCAGAAACGCCGGTTTTATCATTCACGATAGTCTCGCATTGTAACATGGCACGCTCGACTGTGCGCTTGTGGTTAGCTTCTAATTTACACCGTATCAGTAAGGCTGCGACCCGAGTCGACCATGGACCTTTCTGTTGCGAGAGAATCGCTTCAATGTATGGCTGTAGTTCTTCTGTAGTGAGGTCATCCTTCGGCTGCGATTTTTGTAAGTACTGACTATAAATAAAAATTATTAGTAATATGATATTGTGATTAAAAACCATCTAACAATATGATCACTTTGATGCATTTTAGTTTTTTTTTCATGTTTAAAGGGCTTTGAGAGCCAGTATATTAACAGATTGTGAGGCATTCCATCTTCGTCCTCAGATATAACAACACATCTATAGCTTTTTTTTAAATTGAATGCAGAAGTCCATGGACTGCAATAGCTATTTACTATAAGGTTATCTGTAAGTTTATTTTCCACTTCAGTTTTATAGATATAGATATTTCATGAATTAGTCGGCCATATCGTGAAGTGATTAATTCTATGATCTGGTCACGACGTATGTACCAAAATCTTCAAACAAAATATGCATATTAAAAAACCAATAAAACCAATAGAAAAAAGGTGATGACAACGTATCTTCAATTTCATTTTAATTTAAGCTAGTGGATTTTTTTCTGCAAAGTATATTAAAGAATATTAGCAACATTTATTATTCAAAATGTTTACGAAGGTGTATTCTAAATACAGACGAAATAGAAAAATTAAAAAAGAATTGTACGTGGTAGAGCCATGCCGCAGCTATTACGGTTGTAGCATGAATGGGTCGGCTCGACCGGGGAAGGACCACACTCTCACAGAATACCAGCGTAAAATAGCAGCTTAATGCTGCTGTGTTTCGTATGGTGAGTGTAGAGAACCGGAGACCTGTTTTACTAGTCCTCAAGGGTTAACAACGCATCTGCATTTTGATTCTTTATCGAGGTTAAATGTAGATGTCTATGGGCCACAGCATCCCTTTACCAACAAGTGGACTGTGTGCTCGTTTATCACCCTTATACTATAAAATAAAACCTGGCAGTGTTAGGAAATGAAATATTAACTAATATGGACTAAACTAAATTAAAAAACAAAGATAAATGCATAAAAACATTTTAACTGACTTAAAAAAAACTAAAAAGAATAAAATAATTTCAAATTCAGAAGTTGGTGCTATACACATACAAAAAAAAGAACTTGAAATTTAGTTTATTAGTACGTAAGTTAGTACACTAAATGTAGTATAAACTATCAGTCATAACTTACTTGTATCCAATGCAACATGATCGGATATAAGATTAGCTACAGAGTCAAAGTCAATGACATAAAATGTTTGCTTATGTTTTTGTCTAGTATTCCAAACACTAAGCCAAGGATGCAAGTAAGTAGGAACAATACATACACAGTCAGTAAACTCAGTGTCTGCTCTAAGCTCGGTAGCTCTGCCTGACTAATCTTCTCAATAAATTGTATTTTATTAAGCCTCACGTCATCTTGCAACTCTATATCTGGTGGTAGCTCTGAATTGCCATGGCTTATTTCTGCAGAATCACGTTCCACAGTCAAGTCCAGCTCGCTTGTTAAAGCTAATTGAGGTAGAGCATTTTGTTGGAATTTGGTTCGTTTTCCCAAGATACCTGAAAATCAACCATCTATGTTACATGTTGTGAAGTATATTACAAAAACATAATTAAATGTGAAATAGGAAAGAGAAAGTCAGAAATCTGCAACAATGAACTGTAGACATAGTATAAAAATAACCGAAGCTATTATGTACAATTTATTTGAATACATTATAGTGACTAATAAAATGGCAATTCACATGATCGTAACTGGCCTCAGCAGCTCATGGTCACAATCAGCCAGTTCTAAGTTCTAACCAAGGAAGCTTACATATGCTTTGACATTATAAGGTCAAAAGCTTGTCTTGATTTTACCGACAGGAATATTATAATGAATATGTTGCGCCTTAGCAGCAGCAAAATTTAAAGAAGGTAGTGTATGCATACTTCTCACTCACTTTTTCAGGATAATGGCCACAATAAAGGCCTGGCTAACTTAAATTTTTGCACTTTCACTATCCAGTTTCCAGACACAATAGAGAAGTTGCATTAATTTTTTGCCTCAAATTTATATATAAATGAAAGAATAATTCATTTAAAATATATTTAAAAAAATTATCAAAAAATCCATTTTTTTAATAATTATCAATTAAATATAGGGATTGGTTGTAACGTCATTATATCCATTGAGACTATGAGCCAATCCCAATCATGCTATACTTTTGTATTTTCTATATACGGATCACCATGTGTTATAACAAAACATATTATGTGTATAAGCTATGATATTTTTTTTATTTTGACAATGTAAACATGAGTGTTTTATCATTTCACCATGCAGTGGCATTACTAAAGCAATATAATGACGTCACTGGCAATTGAGTTTACATTTTAGAAAAACTATTTTTAACTGTAATTTCATGACGAAAATTAATTATTATTAATATACTTTAAAAAAAATGAAAATCATGCAATTTCTCTATACTAAGACAAAAGCAACAACCCATATGTGAGTAATCATGGGATAGTGAGTGTTTATATATTAAAAGGTTTTAGAATATTTATTACCAGTCAATTCCATTTTTAAACCAGCAAGGTCTTTGGCCTTAAGTAAATATTCTTCTACATTTTGCACTCTACCATAGATAAGGTATGCTTGTGCCATTTCTATATACAACAAAACTTTCAGACGAGGATTATTTAATTTCTGTGATTCATTTGACAACTTTGCCATGATGAGTTCTAGTTCATTATAAAGACTTGCACTTGTTTCTTCTAGTGCTCTTTGATGAGTAACTTTACTACGAAAATACCACCACAGATGAACCTGTAAAAATTTAACAAATTTATTTAAATATATATTTTGTTAACCGCAAGTTAAACAGATAACTAGTATAGCAAGAATGTGGAAAAAAAATTGGAGGCATAATTATGGTACACAGTCATAAAGAAAAAGAACATAATATATATCATAACCAATTCACTCTCATTCTTGGAGATTGAAGGAACGGAAGATCCTGACGCACTGCCATTTAAAAATAAAACTCCATAAGCCATAAGCTCAATATTAAAAAAAAAAATATTAATTTTCCTGCAACGCGTCCCGCGCTTTTCATTTAAAACGATGGATCGAATAAGGAAGCTTTGTGGTCGATGGATACCTCGTTTGATTGGTGCCATGAAATGCGTCTACGTTTTGAAAACGGGGCATCTAGGCGTGTTTTAGAAATCGTTACTGGTGACGAGATATGGATCTATCAATATGATCCGGAAAATAAAAGACAATAATCGGTATGGGTTTACTCAGAAGGACAGTTACCCACAAAACAGTAAAGACCTCGCAAAGTCGGCAAAAAAATGGTGGCTAGTTTTTTTCGCGGAGTGGACATTTGTCGATCTCAATGCTAGAAAATTGTAGGTCAGTCAACTCTAAATGGTATACTACATTTGCATTACCCAAAGCTTATCAAGATGTGTGGGAGAGAAAACCAAGACCGGGCTTCGGGGAATCATGCTGGATTACGATAGTGCCTCTTCACATACCTCCCTTAGAACAAAAGCATTTATTGAGGAATCTGATGTTTCCCTGGTGGTTATCTGGTCCTTGTGATTTCTTTTTGTTTCAAAGAAAAAATAAAAGGCAAATTTTTTTCAAGCTCCGAAGAAACCGTGGCTGCCTACGAAGAAGCGATTTCCGACCTATCAGATCAAGACTGGCAAAAGTGTTTTCAGAGTCGGTTTAGGCGAATGGAACTTTGTATAGAGCATGATGGAGAATATTTTGAAAAGAAGTAAAATAAATATTAATAGTATCTATTAGAATACTTTTTGTATACTCAAACTTATTGAGTGTCCTATGTAGGTAAATATTAAGATTGCCTCATAAAATTTCCTATTAAAATATAGCTGGTGGTATATCAACACATAAACTTGTTTTATAAAAAAATACGAGCAACGCTATTAACATTACTAATAAACTCTGCCTGCACCAAAAAGCACAGGCAACTCTGTTCGTACTTTTTGGTGCAGCCGGTCCCAAGCCCGGATAAAAGAGGAAGGGTGGTTCCGCCGGAGAGAGTGGGTGGTCCGGTGGACTAAGACACCCACCTGCGCTGGGACCTGCGCATTTGAGCGCCGTACGCGGGAATGAAGGAGTCATGGAGGGTTGAGCCGATCGTCACTGGGGTATAGTGTCGAGGCAAAACGCTCTCTTTGGTCCGGGTTTCAAGCTAAACGGTCATTTCCCTATCTGCTAGCCACAGATAGGGAAATGGCCAAGCGTCCCGTCAGAGGAACGCAGGCGAGGGATGTGGGGGCTGCCTAGTTTCCCTAAAAAGGGGCTAGGTGGTGGTAAATGCCATGCTGACGGAGCACGAGAAAGTCTATTCGGGCAGTGGGGATGGGCCTTTTCAGCTCTATCTGCCAGCTGGATCGAGCTATCGATGTCGCTCTGTGACCCAACTTCGCGTCTCTATATTCCCCCGGTAATCCTAGCACCTAAAATTCTTTTTATAATAAAGAAGGGCGCCCTGCGGTCTCTATGGAGGGTAGGAAGCCGGGGGAACGAATTTTTAACACATAAATAATATGGACAACACAAGGCCCATTAGAAAAGAGGGAGACGTGTCAGACGTGCTTACCTTAGACACTGACAAACTAGAAGGAACCGCCATCAAACCGGCGGTTACACGGATTGTACCACCTAGCGTAGGTAGCCCCACCAAGGGGGCAATTTCCGCGCTGGATGTTCCCAAAACCAGTTCCCAATCTGAGGAGCTGGACGCGAGAAATGAGCAAGGGACCGCGAGTAGCAAAACTCCTGCGAAGCCCCAAAGAACTGATGACCTTTTCTCTGCTGCATGACAAGTGGTGAGCAGTAAGGGGAAGGGCAAGGCACCCAAAAAGGTGACTTGCCGACTTGACGGACCATCAGATGGGTCTATCCCAGCAGGCAGTGGTGCAAAGGTCAAAAATAAGAATAAGAAGCAGCGAGAAAAAGGCCGCAGAGAAAAAGCAGTGCTCGCTGCTTCCAAGAGCAGCATTAAGAGAGCTCAAGTTACTGCCACTGCGGTGCTTGGGGTTAGAACAAGTAGCTACGTTGAAACTGGTAAGGATGAAAATCCAGCCCGGGTAGTGGGCACGGCCGCCGGAACCAGCTCTAAGACATCCGCCAGGAAGCAGAGAGCAGCCAAGCGTCCTGGAAAGAAGGAAAGAGCAGCCAAAAGGATGCTGTATGAGCCCACCTCACCGAGAGGCGAGCACAAAAAAGTGCGATTCGAACAGCAACCAAAGGCTGCAAGAACGAGCTTATTCCTTATCCCTGATGCCCAAGGTGTCTGGAAGGACTCACGTGACATTTGTCGTGTGCTTGCGCTTGCGTACCAGAACCGTTTTGTAAACATCGGGGACTGGCTGCTACTCAAAGCGGACAAACAGACGGACCCTGATGAAAGCCGGGCGCCGTCTCGCATGTATACGTTGGGCGGTATACATTAAATCTCAGAGTCGTGGAGGCAAATTCTTTCGATTTTCTACCAAGCAAAGAGACAGAAAAGAACCCGGAAGTCATGGATACCATGGTTACCGGTACATCGAAAGCACCGGATGCCAAGTCCAGTGAAAAAACGGCCTGCACAACCGAGCCGAAGCCTCCAGTGGAAACTGTGCTCAGCGGCAGCTCACAGAGTAACGAAGAGGACTGCATTTTGCCGTCCAATTCCGACTCGGTGGCAGACGATGAGACCAGAGTTCTGCTGGTAGGCTTATTTATGGGCGGGGACGGGAGGACGCGATCAATGATGGCGTGCCCTTCGTCCAGAACTAGCCTAGTGCAGGCTAACCTCCACCACAGTGAAACTATGTCGGCTTAATTACGCAAGTAGTTGGAGGCACAAAGGACGGCAATAGCCCTAATCCAGGAGCCATGGGTTGGGGCTGGTAAAATTAAAGGCCTAAGCAACCTAAAAGGTAAGTTATTCTACAACTCTGAGCACGACAAGCCTAGAGCGTGTATTTATACTACTAAAGATATCTACGTAAAACCATTAACAGATTTCCGTACCGGAGACATGTATGCCGTAGCAATACAAAATACACAGAAGCGAAGATTAGTCATCGCCTCGGTCTACATGCATGACCTTATCAGGCTGGTAAATTTCTGCGAGAGAGGGCCGGGCTAGAGGTTGTGATCGGGACGGACTACCACGCACGCGAATGGAAAAACCCAATGAACTAGGTAAGGTGTTCATTGAATATTTATTTAGCACTAACCTAACCATTTTAAACACTGGTTCTTAACCAACTTTCATAAAACGTTGTCGCACAATAATCGAACTCACACTTGCCACAGAAGGAGCAGCTAAACTAATAACGGGATGGCATGTGTCGAAAGAGGCCTCATGCTCAGACCACAGACACTGCTGCGTTCCACAGGTCCCCACAACTACACCAAAAGCAGCTTTAGAGGCTATATTGGAGCTAACCCCGCTTCATCTACACATACAACAAGAAGCTACTTTAGCTGCCATTAAACTCAAGACCCTAAACCTTTGGGGTTAGAGTAGAGTTGCATTCTGCAGGCAGCCACTGTATTTGGCACTATAGGTAAGCCGATTGAAATAGGATGCGGTTTTCTTTGCATCCTACCCTTGAGGGCGGGTTTGCTTCTCGCCGGACAACCCCAATGTTGTTGCGGATTCTGTCGCTAATGTGGTACTTCAGGGTATGGAACTTTTTATTCCTTCCTCCTCTGTGGTGCCCATCGGAGGCAAATCTCAGCCATGGTTTGGTCGCTCCTGTAAAATAGCATCAAGCTATAAGCAGAGTGCTACCAAGCTTGGGCTGACGCATCAAGGTCCTGGGATGTAAATACCAGCGCTCTAAAAAAAGTATAATTCCGCCTCCAGGTCCTTCAAAAGAGTCATTGCCAAGGCAAAATCAGAGCACATAGGCAGAATTGGCGAGAACCTAGTTCGCCTTTCTGAACACGGGCATTTTTTTTATAGAAGAGGGGGCAAACGAGCATGCGGCTCACCTGATGTTAAGTGACTACCGCCGCCCATGATCAACCGCAACACCAAGGGAATTGCAGGTGCGTTGCCGGCCCTTTAGAAAGGAGTACGCTCTTTTCTTGAAGGTCCCCAGGTCGTATCGGTCCGGAAAAATCGCCGGTGGTAAACTATTCCACAGAGAGGTTGTACGCGGAAGAAAACTCCTCTTGAAACGTACAGTGGTGGACCGCCAAGCATCCAGATGATGTGGATGGTATCGCGACGTTTGCAGCGTAGTGCGTTCACGAAATTTGGCGGCTGGGATTAATCCGAACAATTCCTCAGAGCACTCTCCATGGTATATGCGAAAGAAAATGCAAAGAGATGCAACATCTCTTCGCAGTGCCAGTGAATCGAGCCGATCGGAAAACACTCGGTCGTCGACGATTCGAGCCGCTCTGCGCTGGATGCGGTCAAGTGGAAGGAGCTGGTACTGGGGAGCCCCAGCCCAGAGATGGGAACAGTATTCCATGTGCGGCCCAACCTGCACCTTGTAAAGTTGCAGGCAGTGTGCCGGCATGAAATACTGTCCCGCTCTGCTGAGCACGCCAAGCTTTTTAGAGGCCAATTTGGCTTTCTCTTCCAAGTGACCACGAAATTGCACGTCGCTCGATATGTCGACGCCGAGGATTCCGATACTGGCTGAGGCAACAAGGGGAGTGCCTTGAAACTGAGGAGATACGACAAAGAGGTTCTTTTTTGCGAAACCAGGATGCACCAGGATGCAACCTAAACGCCGTCCACTACCATCTCGAGGCTCTACGGCGAGGCCGGCTCT